GTGATGGCCATGGGGAGGTGATGGCCATGGGGAGGTGATGGCCATGGCTCACCTTTCGCCGTGCCGCCTGGCCCTCCCGTTGCCGCCTGGCCCGCTCCTCTTCCACCTGCCTCCTGCTCTCCTCATCTGCCAACTTAGCCATGTTCTCAAACCGTGACCGCAGGCTGCTGGCACTGCTGGAAGCTGATGCATGGAGGATAGTGCTGATGCAGGCTGCCCAATGGCTCCTTTCTCTGCCCCAAGCACCAGGAGAAACCTGGTGCAGCCAGAGGAACCTCCTTGCAGCTGCCCTCCTCACCCCCCAGCACTGCCCAGTGCCTGTGATGCGCTGCCACCGGGGCAGATGGGACCCAGCGAGCCCTGGTTGGGTACATGCTTCTCTCACCTGCCTCCACTGGTCGTGTTTTCTCATATCTGGACGTTGGACCTTCCATCTCGTCAAAGCCAGCAGCACTCTGCAAGAGGAGGGGGGGGGGGTCGGCTCCTGCCCCCCGGATGGGACGGGCGGGGATGGGCTCTGGGTGCAACGGGGAGGGCTGGGTTGGAATTGGGAACAACCTGTGCTGCAAAGAGCGGTCAGCACTGCACAGCTGCCCAGGGCAGCGGGGAGCCCCCATCCCTGGGGCTGTTCAGTGAGCACAGGGATGTGGCACTGGGGGATGTGGGCAGTGGGATGGGTGGGATGGGTTGAGGTTGGAGATCTCAGAGCTCTTTCCCAACCTACAGCTCAGTGATTCTAAGAGCACTGATCAGAGACTCACCTTATCCACCCTGTCCTTCTGGACCCCATAGCGGCCTCCAAACCCCCTGGCATAGTCTGTATGGAGAATCAGAAACCAACTTATATTTTAGAATATTACATAGGTCACTCCGAAAGTAATACCTCCTACTTATTTCCATGGAAACTACAACAGGCACAGAGAGCCCGACCCAGGGATGTGTATCCACGTCCCCCATCAATCTGCTGTGCCACACTCCAAGCCCTGCTATGGCCAAGTTCACCCTTTGCTTTGGAGCTCACAGTGCCCCCCAGCTGCCCACACATCCACACTATGCTGCATTTGGGTTTTGGCAGTGTGAACAGTCAGCTCCGGGCCCATCTGTACCTGTCTGGGAGGCGTGGGGCTGCACCTCCTCCTGGTGGTCCCAGCCCAGAGCACTCTTGTCCTGACGATCCCTCTGGACTCCAAACTTCCCACCAAAGCCCACCGAATAATCTTCAGCCACGGGGATCCCAATCACGGCACAGAGGGGAACAGAGAACAGAGAGGAGGGGAAAAGCATCAGCATGGTGAGCGTGGGGCTGCAGTGCTGACTGTAGTGCCCCTATAGAACTCTATAGGCTGCTCTAGACTTAGGAAGGGGTGATCACCTTTCTGTGAGTCGTGCTTCTCCGTCTGGCTCTTGTAGTCAAACCCCACTGCTGCTTTGTCCACTTTGTCCCTCTCCACACCGTAACGGCCACCAAAACCCTTGGAGTAATCTGAGGGGGGGTGCAGTGAGGTGCTGGGGAGCTGCGGGGAGGGGGAGAGCAGCAGGGGTGGGGGAATGGCAGCAGGGATTGGGAACAACAGCGGAGATGTAGGAGGGAACAGCAGTGGGGAGGGAGGACAACAGAGCAGGGTTGGAGGCTGGGAGCACCCCAGGGGCCACTGAGATGAAGGTCTGGGGTAATGGGGGTACAGACAACGTGTCTGACGGCAGCGATGGGCAGTGGGGACGTGGCATGGAGTGAGGCCTTGGGATCACAGAACATATGGCAAACATTTATGGACGGCTGACATTTGCCACCGTGGAACCTCAGCTCCCACATGGAAACCACCAACTGTGGGAGCTTGGCAAAAGCTGACAGATACATTCCTGGAGACGTGGTCCCTCCACTTCTGTCTCATTGGGATGGAGGCACAGCCCATCCTCCTTACACCTCCGCTTCCTACATTCCCTACAAAGCATCCCACAGTAACCGCTGTATCTCTGCTCATTTATCCTCCAAGCATCATCCCCCCTTTTGGAGGCCACCATCCTCCAAAATCTCAGCCCCTGTCCTACCCACCGGCTCCATAGGGATCCCTTCACAGCCCCCCATCACCATATCCCACCTTAAGAGGGGGAGTGCATCACAAAACAAACACCCCAGGTGCTGCTTCCAGCAGATAGAGCTTTTCCAGCTGTTACCTCAGCACTAAAGGCTCCAGCACAGGGACATCATCACTAGGACCAAACACTGCAGGGATGTGGGCGTCTGCTGCAACTTCTTTCCTTATTTCTTACATCTTTGTTTTGCTCCAAGGTATTTCTGTGCTTCCACACAGCCTGAAGTCCCATGTCTACAACTGACTTCCTATGCAGAATGTGCTGTGGTGTCACGACTGCCTCTGGTTCTTTACACCAACTACAAATGCCTCAAAACTTCTTCACTCTTTTGCAGTTTCCTCCGAAAAGAACACAGCACCGAGCTTTTTTCCCCTGCAGTGATGCTCTTCTCACATTGGCCTGAAGCACAATGAGGGGTTTTGCCCTCTGACCTTCTCTTGGCCGCAGAATATTCCACCCTTGGCTTCAGATCTTGCAGCATTCCCTCTGAACGCAACTGCTCCTCTGCACACCTCTAAGTTTGCAGAGTTCTGCACAGGTTTGGGTGCAGTGGAGCCTTTTGTTGCCATATCCATTGCTGTGCTTTTTCCTTATATATATATATCTATTTGTGTGTGTGTGTAATCACTTCTCATATCCCTCAGTGCTGCGTTCTGCACAGAGCAGCTCCTCAGAGGGACTTTTAAAGGTTCAGGAGGGAGCACCGCTCACCCATCAGCAGATTGGGGTTGGGGGGTCCTCTCTGCTCAGCCAGGAGTTTCCAGCAAAGCAAAAGAGAGCAGTGATAGGGATGGACAGAGCAGGACAGGACAGGGCAGCAGGGTGAGCCATTGGGAATGGGGATCTGCACCGAGTGGCAGAATTGGGATAACAGAGCTGTGAGCAGCAGCCAGCATGGGATGCTGGGAGCAGGAGGGCACTGCAGAGTACCGAGGTCCAAGTGTGGACCATGGACTTGCCTTTCTGGGATGAATGCTTCTCCACTTCTCCCTTGTATTCAAACCCCAGCGCTGACTGGAAAACAAAGGGAGGAATGGAGCTGTGCTGGGTGTTGAGTCCCACCAGCAGTGGGGTCTGACCCCAGGCATGGAGGGCAGCATGCCATGCATGCACATAGAAAGCACCTGAGCAGGAGCTGACGTGCATGGGATGGAGGCAGCATGCCATGCATGCACATAGAAAGCAGCACAGAGACGGGGACCAGCAGCCCTGGGGACACGTGACTGTACCCAAGGATGCACGGCCATGCCCAGGGGTGCATGACACACTCCTGAGCAGGAGCTGACGTGCATGGGATGGAGGCAGCATGCCATACATGCACACAGAAAGCACTTGGGCTGCAAACAAGAGCCACTGCAGCTCCCTCAGCAGCGCTAGGCGGGACGCAAACACGGCACTGCCTGCAGGGCACAGCGCACAGACGTCGGTGCAGAGCTCACGGCCACGTGTGCTGCAAGCTATCAGCTCTCGCCCTGCACACGGGAGCTGAGCTGCACGTCGCAGCGTGGTGCACAGCACGCCGAGCCCTGCACGCGTCAGCGCATTGCAAACTGCATCAGTAATCGCAATGCAGCACGGGCCCCAGCCGCGTCCCTCTCTGCTCTGCCCAGCGCACCTTGTCGGCTCGGTCCCGCTGCACGCCGTACTTCCCCCCGAAGCCCTGAGCCGCATCAGTCTGTGAGGAATGCTTCCCGACATCGGCGACGTACTCGTGGCCCACGGCACACTGAGGAGAGAGGAGGAAGGGTGTGAGCTCGGAGCAATGGGACGGATGGGGACTGCTCTGCTCTGCTGCCAGAATGAGCGGGGGGTGACCTGGGGGTCCTGACTGATCAGTGGCTGACCAACTGTTGACCAGTTATGAGCCAGCAGTGTCCCAGAAAGCCAATGGGAGCCTGGGGTGCATTGCATATAAAGGCAGGGAGCTGCTCCTCCCCTCTGCTCTGCACTGGGGGGCACAGCTGCAGCCCTGCAACCAGCGTGAGGCTCAGGGCAGAATGGGAACCGCTTGAAGAGCCCCGCAAAAGTGCAGAGATGGGGGGGGGCACAGAGCACCTCCTGATGGGGACGGGCTGAGAGCCCCAGGGCTGCGTGCCTGGAGAAGAGGAGAGAGGAGATCTGAGCCGTGCTGACGGATGTGTGACGGGCGGGAGTCAGCGGGATGGGGCTGGGCTCTGTTTGGTGGTGCCCAGCGCCTGGATGAGGGGCAGCAGGCACAGAATGGAGCCTCACAGTCTGTGTGACCGTGAGGAAGTGTGCTGTGAGGGGGTGGGATTGTTATTCACTGCTTCTCCAAACCCAGTATGGAGGCACCCGACTGAGCTGTTAGCAGCACAGAGCTCCATGAGGGGAGTGTTGCAAGCAGGGACAAATGACGTGGATGGGTTCAAGCACGTTTTGGAGACAGTCTATGGGCTGACACGTGTGTTTGGAACACCTTTCCTTCAGGGCTGAGGCAGAAAACAGGGACAGAAAACGGACATTTCCACGGAGCCCAGGGGTGTCCCCTTCAATGCTGTTACCTTGTCCATTCGGTCCCGCTCCGTGCCAAATTTGCCCCCGTAGCCATACGAGGCCTTCGGGCCGCTCTCCAGCTCCTTCTTCTTGATGACCTCGTGCTCCTCCGACACTCTGCTCCTCAGCTGATGGATGCTGCGGGGCGGGGAGCGTCGCTGCGCTGCGGGGTCCTGCAGCCCCGCCTCCCCCCCCCGTGTTCCCCTCCTCTCCCCACTGCACTCACTCGATGTGCTCGGCCCGCCCGGAGCCCGCGATGCTCTTCGCCCCCCATCGCTGCTCCTTTTCGGAGATGTCGTTCTGCGGAGCAAAGCGCCCCCGTCAGCGCCGCCCGGAGCCCGGAGAGCCCCGACGGCACCGCGGGGACGGGAGGAGAGGGGTGGGGGTGGGCCGATGGGTGCTGCACTACGGATAAATCGTTGGATGTAGGGAGTGAAGTCTGCTCGCTGAGGGTGGTGAGGAACTGCACGGGATGCTCAGAGAGCCTGATGGAGTTGTGGTTGTTCCTGCTCATGGCAGAGAGTGGCACCAAGCCACTCTGTGATGCTATGAACATCCCTTCCAGCCCAAACCATTCCATGATCCTTTGAAGGTCCCCTCCAACACAGACCATTCTGTGGTTCTTTGAAGGTCCCTTCCAACCAAAACCATTCCATGATCTTATAAAGGTCCCTCCCAACCCAAACCATTCCTATGAAAATCTCTAACTCAAACCATTCTATAGTTCTAAGAAGGTCTCTTCCAACCCAAATCACTCTATGATTCTATGAAGATCCCTTCCAACTAAAACCATTCTATGATCTTATAGAGGTCCCTTCCAACCCAAACTACTCCATAATCCTACGAAGGTCTCCAATTCAAATCATTCCATAGTTCTAAGAAGGTCCCTTCCAATGCAACCATTCTGTGGTTCTAAGAAGGTCCTTCCAAACCAAACCATTCCATAATCCTATGAAGGTCTGCAAATCAAATCATTCTATAGTTCTAAGAAGGTCTCTTCCAACCCAAACCATTCCATGATCCTATGAAGTCCCCTCCAACCCAAACCATTCTGCAGTTTGATGCAGTTCCCTTCCAATCCAAACCATTCTATGATTCTATGAATATCCCCTACAACTCAACCCATTCTGTAGTTCTATGAAGGTCACTTCCAAATCCAACACAAACCATTTTGTGATTGCATGAAGGTCCCTTTCAACACAGACTCTCCCCTAATGCAAAACTAAAAACACTTCTGTCCAAAGCAAAAGAGCCCCCCCCCCCTACGCTGACCCCCCTGCAGGCACTCACCACAAAGTCGGGGTCGGTGTCCCAGTCATCACTCTGTGCCTCCACCTTCACCGACACGTCGTGGCCCACGACCGCCTTCCACATCTGTGGGGCGGAACACGGCATCATCAGGACCACAGGGTGTGGGGCAGGACCACAGTGAGGGGAGACATCTGGTCCCACACCCCACACTGAACAGGGACATCTACATCACATCGGGTGCTCGAAGCCCTGCAGCCTCCACTGGTGCAGATTTTGTACAAGCATGGCACAAAACGGGCTCTTGTTCATTGCCAGTGAAAATGCACGGCGAATGGGAGTGCCTATGTTGAAGAAGAGTGCTTTGTAGCTGAGAATTCGCTCTATCAATTGGCAGTGTTGTGCTCTTTGCCTCCGTGCTTCCACGGAAATAAACAGGCATTGCTTTCGGAGCAAAGCACAGGAGCCTGGAGGAGGCAAGAGGCCCAGGGAACAAAAATAGTGCGAAATCTCGAGCTCCTGCATTTCACTTTCAGGATGACTCTGAAAAAAAGACAAAAAAAAATCCCTCCCAGGCAGCGCTGCGCCTGCAGAGCAGCGGAAGGAAGTCTGGTTGCGTGGGGCAGGCGATGTTGGGGCTGCTCTTGCCATGGCCCAACATTGCAGCTTTGCAGTGGGGCAGAGAGAAGAACTGCAGTGCCGTGCCCCATACTGCCACGAACATCACATCAACTGGGGGAAACCCGATGGGAGGGATGGGGGCGGCTTTGTAGGGATCCTCAATTCACTGATTCGCTGTGCACAGGGCAGCTGCTAACAGTGCAAGGTGCTGAGCTGGGAGCTGCCATCCCAGCAGCGGGTGGACCTGCAGCGCTGCTCATTGCACGAGTTAACGAGGGGCTGGGGGGGAGGGAACTGAAAGCACAGAGCAGGGATGGAGTTTGTGGTTGAAAGGAGCCAGGCAGAAAGCCGAGGGTGGAGGACTGAGGGAGATTTTACTGCAAGGATCTGACCCTCAGGAGTTAAAATAATGACAACAGCAATGATAGTAATAGTGGTAACGATGGAAGCACAGCTCTGTATGGCAGTAGCCCTATTGCAGAGCACAGCCAATAAATCATCCCAGCACTGCTGCCCAGAGCTGCGTGTGCCCCATCCCTGCAGGTGCCCATGGCCGTGGATGGGGCTCTGGGCAGCCCAAGCTGGGAGGATCCAGCCCAGGGCAGAGGGGTTGGAACACATCGTGTTTAAGGTCCCCTTCCAACCAAAGGCATCCTCTGATTCAGTGCTTCTGTGATAATGATGAGCAGAGGAAGCAGGAAGGTGGGTGCGGACGATGCGGAACAACCCAACAGCGCCTTCCATCTCTTCTCTGTCCTCACCTTTTACCATCTCTCACTCCAAACACTTCTATGGCCCATTTGTACGTAGAGCAGCAACAACAACCCAGCACAGGGCTTCCAGCCGAGGGCAGCCGTTGGGCAGCCACCCCAACTCCAACCTGGAGCTCTGGGGTCTGCCTGCTGCTCCAGGTGACTCCAGACCACCTCCTCCCCAGCACCTCCCACCACACATCCTGGGAACTGTAACAAACCACAGCCACAACCGTAGCCACGGGGATCGGCCCCGTCCTTCCCCCACCATCATCCTTCCCCCCCTTCCTCTGGTTGGACTGCGTGATCTTGGACATTCTCAACCTTGGTGATTCTGTGATTCCCCCAAAGCAGGTGGTCAGTGCAGCATTGCTCCCACTCTTCCCCCAACGCAGATGGCTAACATGTGGGAAAAATGGCTCTTTAGAGCCTCAAATGCAAAAAAAACAAACCCAACAATAACTGAAGAACCAACCAGCAGTAAATGCTGAGCGCCATCAACCCGTGCCCAGGAAGTGGCTCTCTGTGCCCACCAAAGCACTTCTGCCACTGCTGCTGCCCACTCCCCACCCCCAGGACCCCCCAGTATCCTCACCTTTCCCAGCCCCCCTCTTCCGTTGATGGGTTCACAGTCCTCCGGTGCAGCACTGCTTCTCACAGCAGCCTCAGGGCTGCACTGGGTTCCTGTTTTCTGCACTTCCTCCCCCAGCCCCCAACGCAGCAGTTCCCTGCACTCCGACGAGGTGAACGCTGCTGCACAAAGTGCTCCGTCAGTGGGTAGAGCTCAGCAGGGCACGATGACGTGGATTGTGCCAAAACCGATGTTGATTCCAGCTGGGCTCCTGCCGAGAGGTGCCTGAACCCCCATGGCCAGAGATCCCAAAAAAAGAGAGCTGCAAACCTGCTGGTTGCAGTGTCAGTGCAATGCTGGGCTCAGCACAATTCAAAACCCAAACATATGCATTACGTATCCATATACCTACATGTCTACACGGATACGGATATATGACCCACAGATAATCTGAGGTAGGAATACGGGAAGGATGCAGGTGAAGAGCCCTAAGCACGTTCACACAAACTCTCCCTTCGCTGCCCACTGCTGGAAATGCCCAATTGTGGAACAGGCACAAACCACTTCTGCACCAAGTGAACTTCTGAAACCAAATCGACCTCCTTTCAGAATGAGTCAAGAGATGCAAAGGACGGCTCCTGGAGCACTCAGTTCTGTGCGCCACGGCCTGACGCTTCCTGCAGATTAGGCAGGCAGGGCTGCAGTGCCCACACCAGAGGATGCAAAAGGTTGAGATGTTTGAAGCAGAAACCATCAGCTGAAGTCCCACGTCTTCCATTAGGTCAGAGCTGTTGGCCATGCTGTGACATCGGAGCAGGAGCTCCTTCAAAGCTTCTTGTTACTTTATTTAATCCAAGCTTGAACCATTCCGTATGGATGCCACGTCTTTAACAAACCCAATTTACCCAAATGGTCTCATTTCAGCTCTGTGGATGGGCAGGCCCTGAATTTGAGTCCTCTGAAGAAAACTCACACCACAGGCTCTAAGGAAACTCACCTTACCTGTAGTTCTCACACCCATTAAATGCAGCGGGGCCATCATTCTTACAGCACCCTATAATTAACTTCTGTTCCAATGGCGTTGTCAGATTATAGCAGTGAACATGAAGAGTCTTCTTTGGCAACGAAGGATGGAGGAGGATGGCGCTGGACGTCCCACCCCAGGCAGCAGCACATCTTGAGGGATATGATTTAGTGAGAGCTATTGGGGATGGCTGGATGGTTGGACTGAGTGACCCTGCAGTCATTTCTGCCCTTGGTGTTTGTGTGACTCTGTGATTCCAGCCCATGGGCACCAACCACCACGTCTTCCCTGTGGGTTGTACCACTCCAGTGCAGGGTTGGGTTACATCTACCTGAGAGTAAATAAAAGCAAACCCCAGCAGACCTTTGGATTTATTGGAGCTGCTTTTTAAACCACAGCATTCCTAACTTTTTTGGTCGTGGCAGCCAGAAGCTGCAGATGCCAAAATGTGAGAGGTGAAAGGGCCTCTGTGTGGGCATTCAATCAGAAGAAACAGATCTGATGGAACGAACACATAAGGAAATGCACACAGAGGGCTGTGGACACCTCTGATGCTCACATGGGGACAAAACGCAGCTTCCATCTGAAAAATAACCTTTATTATATACAGGAGCACACGCCCCAGGAAGATAGAGGCAAAGTTTTTGGTCACAGATGCAGCTGAGAAAGTCACAGAGATCATCAGATGGCACACAAAGGGAGATGCAGTGCCCACACTGCCAGAGATCCCATTGTTTTAGGTACAGTGATGAATTCAACCCACCTTCAAAGAGGCTCTGCAGCAGCTGGGCACTGCTGGGCTACCAGCAGCATCAGAACCCCTCCTTCCCACGTGGGAAACTCAAGCTGAGTGCTGTGCCACAAAGCAGCCAGGACCCTCCCAGCAGGGACCCTGAGTGCACTGCAGCTTGTGGCCAACAGCAGGAAGCTCAGCTCAACCAGCCCTGCATTCAACATTCTCCCTTTGGAAGAGGACCGTCCCCATTCTACGACAGTGCAAGGAGTTCTATAGGAAAGCACAGCTTCCCACGCATCCCATGCGATCAAATCCATCCACAGTTTGCCTCAGAGTCTGAACAGCCCAGGGCCCAGCGCCAGCGCTGCACAATTTCTCTATAAGCAGTGACACCAAAGGCCCAGAACTCCTTTCCCTTCCCCAGTGCTGGGGGAACCCTTTCATTTCTGGATCTTCTGCCTTTGACTCAGGCCCCTGTGCTGGAACCACATGACGGAACCCTCCAACACAGCCCATATGGGTTTAAGCTGGCGCAGCGGGAGCACAGCTGCTCTCCTTTGGAGAGCTTACTGAAGTGAGAGATAAAAAGCTCTTGCCTCATATTCAATAATTACATTTCTGAAGCTATTTTACAAGGCTGTCAGAGCAGACATACAGCTGTCTTTAAACGCAGTGCTCAGCAGGTCCAGATGTACTCATTTTGGCCCTACTTCAACTGTAGATGTAACTGAGCAGGAAATGTGAAGTTCACATTCCTTAAAGTGTCCACAGTTTCCTTAGGATATGCATCTCAAGCAGCGCTGAGCCACGGAGCAAACAGGAGACGTGAGGAAGGGAAGGAGCTTCCCTCCCTGGTGCACAGCTCCAGAGCTTCCCCCCGAGCTCAGCGGACTCAGGATGAGGGTGAATGAAGATCTGGCATTTTCTGGAAGCACTGAAGAATTGCAGTAATTCAGGAAGAATTTACTCATTCCTACCGCTGTCAAATGCTCTGTAAAATGAGCGGTGCTCCCTCCGGGTACAGGAACAGATACAGTGATTGTCAGCAGGAGGACCCCAGCTCCGAAGATGTGCTGCTCAACCATTTAAAACCACGGCATGAAGTGAGAGATGTCCTGGAAACACCGTGGGCAACAGCCCTGCCTGCTGCCCATCCCAACAGCGAGCAGCCAGCGCACGCATCAACCGCCGGGCAGCGCTGCCCACAGGGGACTTGGAAAGAAGGCGGTGGGTGAAGCGCCCGTTTCAGCTGCCCTGTGGGTGGGGAGTGCTGGCCCAGGACCACAGAGGGCTGCGGCTCAAGGAAGGGCCGCTGTTCCTGCTCAGAGGTGGCCTGTGAAGCACAGGAAGAGCAGGACGTGAAGAGCGAGCAGGTACAGGGCCACCAGCATGGGCAAGTGGGTCCGGGAGCGGAAGAGAGAGCGTAACAGGCGCCGCAGCCCAGGGATATTCCGAGTCTGCAAGAGGGAAAGAGACGTTGGTCGAGCATCAGGAACGGCCAAGTGCCCAGCGACCCTCCCCCACAGCCCTGACCACAAAGAGAAGTTTAAGCTTATCAGCATGAACTTTTCCAAACCCATTCCGTGGCAGATCTGACCTCCAGAGCCACGCTCCCCATCAGGAGAGCTGCTCTCTTTAGATTTTCTGCCAGCCAGCTTCTCTTCAATTTCAATTTCTTCAAGAAAGGGCACAAAACGCCTCCCCTTATGTTTGCTCCTTACAAACATCTTAGCCCCTCAAGTGAAATATAAGCAAAAGGACCAATGGTACTTTTCTGCTATAAACTCGAGCTCCTAGGAACCCCAGCTCACCCTGCCCTCCAGGCTGGAGGAAGGGAATGTGTATTTGTTGAGATCTTTCAGCCTCACCACTGAAAGGACTTCAGGGCCTGCTGAGCAGGGCTGCCCTATGGTGATCCCCCACAGGGGCCCTTTGGGGTCCTCAGTCAACGTCAGCTCTCCTGGCAGAGCCACAGAACAAAGAAACCAGCAGAGCAAGCCGAGAGCAGAAAGCCACACAAACCCACTACCCAAACTGACTCAAAGACGCCCACAGCAGAACTTTGCTGCTGTAGGCTCACAGTTCTCAGCTCACGTTTTCTTACACCATTGGCAGCTGTGAGAGAAAATCCTTACTTTGCTGAAGTCATTATCCGTGGAGTCAATGAGCAGGGAATGCTCGTGACCTGGAGCCATATTGATGCTGGTGGTGCTCAGGGAGGACGTCCACTCACTCGACTCCAACCTGGCACAAAACAAACACACAACCATGAAACCAACGAGCAGAACCACGGGGTGACCCAAGCAGCAACAGTCTGATTTCCTCAGATGTGGTTTCAAAATGAAGTCATTCCCAATTTCTGGACGGTAGTGAAACTGGGGCAGAGTTGGTATCTTGTGATCTCCATATAAATTATACACAGGAGGGCTCAGCTGGAGCCCTTCTTTCCTCACTCATCTCCCATCACTTTTACAGCTCTTCAATTTCTTTTGGTGCTGCTTTTTCTTTGCAGGAATTACAAACCAGGACTTACCTGAGGTGTCTGTTTGGCTGTCAGTGGAATTTCATAGTGTGTGACTCACCAGAGGCCAAGGCAGGTGACTGAACTCTTTCAAATGCCATGAAATGCACTTGGAAGCCAGCTCTGCCCCCAGCAGTGCTGGTTCTTGCTAACTATTTCCCAGTGACAGACTTTCAAGGGTGGTAAGATACTGTTAAAGCACGAAAGCAGCACTGTCAGTATCAGTGATTTGAGATCAGGTGATAAGAAGTGAGGGAACTTCCACAGACTTTAATGCTGGAAAGAGGTAACGTTGCCTGAGTTGTGTAGCAGCTGCCAGTATTTCCATCCAGATCATTATTTTTTGTCAGAATAAGCATTTGTGTCAGAAGGAAAACCACAACGGTGACGCAGAAGATTCTAATAGTGAGATTTACTTGAATTGCTGCACTAAAACTGCGAGGGGACGCATGCAGCACAAGAAGCTACAACAAAGCTCAGTGACCAGATTCATTTCTACAGTCAACAACAAGACAAAGGCACAGGGCTCGCTGCTCCTCAGCCTGACATCCAGGCCAGGTCAGCCTCCTTTTCTCTACTGACTACAACAGCATCTCTCAAGGAACCCAACATCCAGGGTGCTGTGGGTATGAAGAACAAGGTGTTGCAGCAAAGAGCTTGGGAGGGGGCACATAAGAAGGCACAGGGGGTGGCATGTGGACCTTCTAATATTAAATGGCTGCTGAAACACAAACGGGAGGATAAAAAACCTGCCAGCCCAAAACTCCAGCTGAGCATCAGGACCAAGAAGTAACCAAACCTGGGATGCAATCCTGAAGTGTGGCTGAAGTCTTCATACAGGAGGCATCCTGAAAACAACACCCCACTGACAGCACAAAACCAGAAAAGGAACAACTCACTGCCTGAGAAAGTGGGAATCCAGGTGAAAAATTAACTCTTGTTTAAAGGAAATTAATGGAAAGCAGCAGCAGCAGCAGCACCTACTGACTGCCTCTGGAAGAAGAATGAACCCAACAGCACCAGCCCATTGCCTCCAAGCAGCAGCATCCTACTCCCTCTTATCAATAACATACAAAGGGGCTGCTTCTCATCCAAGATCGAGCTTCTCTCTAAGAGAAATGCTGCATGTACTCCTTTGTTTTCTGTCTGGGCAGAGAGGAACCCAATGAGGTGTAGAGCCTTGCAGCTGGGGATGGATAACTGCATGCATCAGCGCAGGTTGGGGCATGAGCTGCTGGGGAGGAGCTCTGCAGAGAAGGACCTGCAGGTCCTGGTGGGCAACGGGTTGGCCGTGAACCAGCGGTGTGCCCTGGTGGCCAAGAAGGCCAATGGGGTCCTGGGGTGCATTAAAAGGAGCGTGGCCAGCAGGTGGAGGGAGGTGATCCTCCGCTCCGCTCTGCCCCGGTGAGGCCACATTGAGAATCATGAGTCCAGTTCTGGGCTTCCCGGTTCCAAAAAGATGGGGATCTCCTGGAAGGAGTCCAGCAGAGGGCCGCAAAGAGGATGAAGGGCCTGGAGCATCTCCTGGGCGAGGACAGGCTGAGAGACCTGGGGCTGCTCAGCCCTGGGGAAAAGAAGGCTGAGAGGGGATCATAGAGGATGATGCTCCTGAACCTCTAAAGGGAGGTGGAGGCACAGGGATGAGGCCAGGCTCCTCTCGGTGCTGTGCAGCCAGAGGACGAGGAGCAACGGCCTCCAACTGGAACACAGGAAGTTCTGTGCTAAGATGCAGAACTGCTTTCCATCGGGGTGACGGAGCAGAGGCACAGGCTGCACAGAGAGGTGGTGGGGTCTCCTTCTGTAGAGATATTCCTCTACAGAATGCCAAGACCTCTCAGGATGCCAACCTGTGCAACCTGTGCAGGGAACTGCTTTAGCAGAGGTTGGGCTCAGTGATCTCCTGAGGTCCCTGCCAAACCCTGCAGTTCTGTGACTTTCTGATCACCCCATGCTATCCCAACCCCCTGCACGACCTTTTGCCTTAGCAAAGGCACTGGGTGCAATGGAAATTGCAAACCAGGGGACTGAAGATGAGGAAAGTGGGGGGGAAGGATATCCAGACCGAAGCTGAGCCAAAAAAGGGGCAGAGGGAAAAGGTCTACCCTAGGTTAGTTGTTTCTCAGTATCCGAAGTTTTTGTCTTTTTGGCAATAAATTTAAATTTAAGGAAATTTCTCAATTCAAGACTTTTTGTTTTACCCAAGACAGACAGGTGATTACTGAGGAGACAAAACCCCTAGAAATATTGAAAAACTTTTTTTTTTTATTTTTTTTTTTTTAAAAATCTTCAGCCAATTCTGAGTCCACAAATTATATTTTCTGATGATTTGCTTCACTGGGAAAGCTGGCATTCCTGGCCAGAATTCATCCTACCACAACTTTCACTCAGTCGCTGCAATCTGCCTTTGTCTACAACCAAAGCACAGACACAGAGCAGTCATTTAGGGAGCTGGGATCTCACTCTTAGGACAGCTCTGCCCCTCTGACCACTGTCCCCACCTGCTGATCTGATCCTGAGCTGCTGAGAGCGCTTCCTCGGCAGCCACGCGCCGCTCCCGCTCCTCCTCCAGCTGCTCCTCCAGGTATCTCAGATCTTGCTTCGTGCTGCTATGTAAGTGCTCAGTTTCGGACAGCCTGTCAGAAAATAAGCAAGCATGTGTCAAAGAGGGCTAATTCCTGGCCTGCTCTGCTTCTGTTCTATTTACTGAGGCAGGAGGTGAACAGACGCCAGCTCTCTTCCACTCTGCACAGAAGACAGCTGTTTTTCAGTACCATACTTGAATTATTTGGAAAGCAGGAAGAAGAGCAGCCTCTCGAAGCTCCTGTGTCACATCAGAAAGGAGTGTATGTGATCCTACCTTCCAAAAGCTGCTTACAAAGGGCACCAGGAGCCACATGCTAGATCTCAATCACAGACACATTCCCGGGCTAAAAGCATTGAGACTGTGCTAATTCATACACTTGGAAGGTCACTGAACTTTCTGGAAGTGAACCTGGAAGGCCCATCAAATCAGAGATGCCAATTTGGCTGCTGATGGTCCATCATAACTGCTACTACAAGTTTGGGTGTGAGGCACTGGCACAGGTTGCCCAAGGAGGCTGTGGATGCCCCATCCCTGCAGGCATTGGAGGCCAGGCTGGATGTGGCTCTGGGCAGCCTGGGCTGCTGGTTGGCAACCTGCACACAGCAGGGGCTTGGAACCAGATGAGCACTGTTTTTGCAACCCAGACCATTCTGTGGCTTTATGATCCTATGTTTACTCTCCATTGCTTGAAGTCCTGTGCAAGGAGACATTGCTAAGCACAACTGTGCAGCATGTGTGACAGCTCCTCCACTCGGCAAGGTCCTGCTGGGGAACAGAAGTGCTGAGAGCTCAGATGGAGCAGCCCAGCCAGGCTCCTGCCAGCCCCAGGACCTCCATCAGGACTCAAACCCCTCCTGGTCCCACAGTACCTCAGCTGCAGCTCCTGGAGCTCCGGTGTGTAACTGCCTCCAGGCTCATTCTTTTCTTGGGGTGCTCCGGGAGCAGCATCAGTTGCAAACGACCCCTAAGAGAAGGCAGAGGGCACTGAATGAAGAGGACAGAAGCCAGCCACTGCGCTGCTCTCTTAGCAGAGCCACCTGCAGGACGTCTTGCCCTCCCCCTCCCTTTGACAGGGACCCTCACCATGCTCTTGTCTGCAGCCTGCAGCTCCTGGAGCTGCTTCTCCAGCACCAGGCAGCGGCTCAGAACCTCGCTGTACTGCTGGTGACTCTCACAGATGCTTCGGCCGCTACTGCGCAGTTGGAGGGAGAGGGCGTTTTTCTCTTCATACACCTGAGACAGCTGAGAAGACAAATCCTGAGTCAAGAGCTCAAACATTTCTGTGACAGCAAAACTGTTTTCCGTGTAACTGAGGGTAAGAATTCTATTGAGAATGTAGGTGCTGCCACAGTGCCCCTTTCTAAGGTCCTCCAACAGCAGCTTGTGGCAAGGTCTCCAGCACAGGTGGCCCTAAAACATTCACACGATGTACAGGATTGCTCCTTGCTCCTCTCTTCCCTCCCAGAATTAAATCTGTGGAAGTGGCTGACATAAGACCCAAAACTTCAAGCCAGAGGAACCTTTGGTTCAATACAGGGAAGCAAAAATTCTGCACCTGATGGAAAGTCCATGCACCAGCACAGGACTGTCAGAGTGCCAAGGCAACAGCTCTGCTGTGAAGGACTGGGGAGTTACAGCAGCTGCCCAGCTGAGTACAGCCCAGACAGCTTCGTTGGGAGCAAGGAACATTTTATTCTGGGTTACATCAGGAGAAGCAAGGCCAGCAGACAGAGGAGAGTTACTATCTGCTCTGCTTGGTAACCAGTAAGAGCACACCTGGCAGACAGTGACCAGTTTTGGGTCCCTCATTTCAAAATGGAGAAAGAAATGAGAAAGAGTCCAGAAAAAGGCTACAAAGATGATGAGGCATCGGAGCGTGTGATGGCTGTGAGAGCTGCACTGCTTTATCCTGGGAAAGAAAAGGCTGAAGTGTGCAGCAGTTCCCAATTACTCTGAAGGGAGCCATAAAGCAGAGCCAAGCTCTTTGACAGCAGCAGAAAATATAATAAGGGACTTATTTGTGGCTTGCAAAAACAAAATCATTCTCATTGAAAGTGAAGAGCAGCATTGGACAAGGACCCAGAGAGGTTTGGAAATGCCTTTTCTTGGAGGTTTCCACCACTACGGTAGGCAGGGGCATGGATGATCTGATCTAACAGTGCTGGCAGCACTGCTTTGAGCAGCAGGACAACATAAGGGATCACCTCCAGAAGTCTCTTCTAACCACTACTGACTCTGTGTACCCAAAGGTACAAACACACAAAGGTGGTGAATGCCCACACGAATACAAAGCCCTATTCCTCCTCTACGAGCCCCACTGAAGGCTGCCTACTTCCCCACATCCCTCAGCCCAAACTCTGCAAGCAGGAAGCATGGCTGGTACCTTGCTGTTTAACTGCTGAATTCGGAGCTCTTTTTGGTGCAGCTCCTTCAGGCTGTCATTTAGCTGAGCCCTCAGATGTTTGGTCTCTGCTTCCGGGCTTGAGAAGTCCCCCCTCACTGCTTCTGGATTGATCTGACAGGGAAAGAACAACAAAGAATCAACACAGGACCATCTGTGTCCATTTCCACTCCTAGCCCTACATTGTTCCCACACCTGAAACTTGATCTGCACTCTGTGGAGTGGGGGAAGAAAAAAATATCAGGTGCACTTGGTTCTAGACTTCTCTTTACATATCTGCACGTGAATCTGAGGGATAAGAGAGGATTCCCCCCTCCTCACCAACATAAAAGTGTGTCACCAGAGCAATACAGATGTTGGCAGGACAGCTCTGCCCTGCTGTAATGCTATGGCTCTGCACATGCAGCTGGCGAGCAGACCAGCAAAGCAAAATCCTCAACAGATTCCACTCCACTTTCAGAACTGTCATATGGAAAAAGAGGGCAGAAAGTACAACTTTCAACCCTCAGCCCCTCTGGGCATGAGCCAGGATTATAGATTTCTTCCTAATACAAACAGCAATAAAAATCCTGCAAAAGACTTCAAAATTAGAACGCGGTATTACAAAGGACTAAAACTAAAAGGAAGACTTCAGGTTCAGAACAGTGTGAGAAGCAATTCTAAAATCATCAGACTGGAAGAGCTGAGAGGTTCCAGAAGGAACTGCTCAGAGGGAACTCAGGTGCCCAGGAAACCCCATCTCTCCCACTGTCCCAAATGTCAGGAACGAAGGGGGGAGCACATAAGGTTAGGGCAGAGCTTTCTGAAAGCTTCAAGCTGTGCTGTTGGCACAGGCCTTGGAGGCCACACAGCAATACCAACACCAGTCCACGTGATGTTTGACCTCCAAAATCCAAATACAACCAACAGGCCCTCATTTGGCTGCATTTCCATGCAGTACAGAATCTGTGCACTTCCACCGACCTTCTTTTGGTACTGCTCCTCTACAGCTGGAGCCTTGCTGAGGGGCAGCCTCATTTCTTGCACGACCTGCTGCAAGTGGCTCAGCTGCTGCTCTTTTTCTGCTATGAGCACCAGGTATTGCTCTTTGATGCTGCCATTCTGCTCTTCCCAGGTAGTTTTCTCTTGCCTGCAAAGCATCACGCAAAGGAAATTACCACAGTAATTAACAGGACCACATACAACATCCATTCACCCAGCTCAGAACAAGCCAAGGAGGATTCCAACCACATCCTATCATTACCCCATGCCAGATAAGTTGGATGTCAAGGAACTAAAGCAAAACCACTTCAGCACGGGAACCCTAACATCAGGGCTAAGGAGGTTGTCTCCATCAGCACCACCTCGGTCAAATGTGCACATGAGAGCCACTGCATGGATTCCAACACACAGACATGGGCCTTGGTTCCACCTGTGCAGCAGGAGCTACCCAGGAAATGAGCCTCCAGGCTCAGTCATTCTCTCACTCATTACTTTGGGATCTCTGAAGAATCTGAAATTCCTTCTTTCCCATTTCTAGAACAGAGCACGTGTGCCTGACTGGGTTTGGTCCAGGAGGGGATGACAACTCACCAGCCTTAAATTACAGCCTTTCTTAATCGAAGACATAAAGCAAGTGAAACAAAGGATTAAATCATCATATAAAATGAGTATTTTCTATACAATTACATCGGATAATAAAGAGTGTTCATTTCATTGTCAGCTCAGAATGGAGAGCACTATGATTATATACAAATAAGCTGCAGTACAAGAAATAGGTGATGCTTCCTCTGAAACAGATGATATTGGCCAGCACTGGAGGAAATAAACCACAGAATGATAGAATGGCCTGGGTGGAAAAGGATCACAGTGCTCATCTGTTCCAAGCCCCTGCTGTGTGCAGGTCGCCAACCAGCAGCCCAGGCTGCCCAGAGCCACATCCAGCCTGGCCTCCAATGCCTGCAGGGATGGGGCATCCACAGCCTCCTTGGGCAACCTGTGCCAGTGCCTCACCGCCCTCTGCATGAAAAACTTCCTCCTCATATCCAACCCAAACCTGCCCTGTCTCACTTTAAAGCCATTCCCCTTGTCCCATCACCATCCACCCTTGTAAACAGCCGTTCCCCTTCCTGTTTATATGCTCCCATCAAGTAAAACCAAAAAGGCCATTAAGCTACTTTGCACAGGCATTTCCCTCCAGAATGTTGGGCTGTAAATCCCCACCCTAAGTCTGATGCAAAGACCTGAACAAGGAAACGTGTGCCTGCTCCTGACGAGGGCAGGCGATGCAGCACAAGTAAGGCAGAGGCACCCAGGGCTTTGCTCTCCAAAAGGACCCATTGCCATCTCTGAGGCATTAAGGAGAAAGGCAATTCTCACCTTAGCTGCTGAAGCTCCTGCTGGTAGGAAATGCACTCCTGCTCCAGCTGCTCCTGGCGGCGGTGCTGTTCATCTGCTTCTTGCTGGTATTCCTGCACTTGTGCCCTCAAGCGAGAGTTTTCAGCTGATTCTACCCCAACATGTATGTATTGCTGCTGTAGATTCTTCAGCTCCCTCACCTTTAAGTAAAGGGAAATATTGCTACGAATGTTAACTGAGCAAGCAGCTACGTCTGTTATTTACATGCATTTAAGAACACTTTTCACTGCAGCATCACATCCAAATGACAGAGACAATGGAAGTTCACATCAACTACTACAGCCATCTACTAAGAAGAGTTCAGCAGAAAAGCACCTCCAAGAAGTCTGCTGTGTGGAAGAGGGCAGTGAGTTGAGAGCTCCCACACAGACGTGACACACATCAGCAGCACTGCACAGTTCAAGAAAGCAGAAGGTACATAAATCTAGAAATAACTGAGATGCTGATGGACAAGGGGGAAGTCATGGACAGTATCACAAAGTATCACAGAAAGGATTATCCTGAGTCAGAAGGGACCCATTAGGATCACCGAGTCCAGCTCCTGGCTCCACACAGCACTGCCTCAAATCAAACCATGTTTCTGAGAGTGCTGCCCAAAATCTCTTGCTCTGTTTGATGTGTGATGTGATGTGTGATTGCCCACCCTCTGATTTGTCAAGGTCTCTCTGCAGGACCTCTCCACCCTCAGAGGATTCTGCAGCTCCTTCCAGTTCAGTGCTGTCCCCAAGCATATTCAGCATACCTTCAAGTCCTGCACCAAGGTGTTGATGAAAACACTGAAGAGCTCTGCAGAACCCCACCAGTGACTGGTTGCCAGCCTGAAGGACTTTGACTACAACCCTCTGAGCCCAACCTGCCAGTGCTCAAGAAAGACTTAGATGTGGTACTGAGGGATGTGGTTTGGTGGGTGGATGGGTGGACTGAATGATCTTGGAGGTCTCTTCTAACCCTGGAAATTCTATGATCAGCCAATTGTTCACCCATTGCATCATTCATTGGATAGCTGTATGCTGGAAGGAAACAGCCTCAAAAGCTTTACCGAAATCCAAAACAATGACATCAACTGGCTTCCCTTGCTCAGCTTCGTGGGTACTTTGCCATAGAAAGAGAATAAGTTGGTTGCAAAGTAATAAAACAAAGTAAACTAAGAGCAAGTATTAGTGGAAAATCACAGTAAAAATCAGTCATCTGAGCAGCAGCTGGAAGTGAAATGCACTGAGCTACACTGTGCCAAAGAGCATGCAAACACACATGAAGTACGCAAGTAGAGATGATAGAATGAAGGTGCAATGGCTTGGGCCTGTCTTGACAATCATCTGCCAGGAGGAGAAATCTACCACATGCTTAGATTTCTAGAAGAGACTGCAGAACTGACAAATCAAATGCATGAGCTGGCACTGATGTGGCCTAAGCAGACTAACAGAGAGCACATCTCTTACTTCTATAATTCCATCTTTAAAACAGGGCTAAGAAGAGAAAACGCCTTGAGAAGTTAATAATGAAACCGTAGTTCAGCTTCCATATGTCACAGAGGCTAACAGATGACACGTACTAAGTCCACAGGATCTGATGGAGTGCACCCAGAGGTGATGAGGTCATTGGGAGGCAACTCTCAACTACTGCTGAAAGATCACGATGAACAGAGGGGCTTTGGAAGGCTGGAAGAAATGGCATCCTTACTTCAAAAAGGGCAAGGAGAAGGATGGAGAAAGGCAGTCTGCTCAGCCTCACCTCAGCCTTACCAAGGAGATGGAGCACTAATCCTGGAAACTACTTCCAGATACACAAGAGAACAAGTTGACCAGAGGAATTGTGGAAATCCTCCTCTGAGATGTTCAGAACTCAAGCAGACGTTGCTTTGGGCAACCTGCTCCAGCCAACCCTGTCAGAGCAGAAGGGTCGGATAGAAGACTTCAGAGTTCCCATCCAACCTCAGCTCTTTCGAGGGTCTGTGAGGATGATGGTATGTTTTTAACTCTGTGAAAGACAATGTCTAACTGTGCTGAATTCTAAGATCTGAAGAACCGAATCTCCTGTAAAGCTTTAAATAAGAATGGGACAAGAAAGCAAGGACTTACTAATCTGTCTCTGTCGTTCTGCAGGGAGGACAGAGCCTTCTTAAGACTCAGCACCTCTGATGGAGTTGTGGCAGTGCTCCCTTCTGCTTGCTGCCTCACTTCTTCCACCTTACGTGTTCTGCCCAGTTCATCCAGCAGCCGGTCTCTCTCGTCCTGCAGGCTTGCCATAGCCTTGGAGAAAGATTTGACTTGGTTGGAAGAGCCTTCCAGTTCTGAAGACAAACGGAGAAGCTCATCGTCTTTGGCTCTGATCTTCTGCTTCAGATCCTCAATCTGTGCCAAGAGACCTCTTTCATCAGCAGCTTTCTGCATTTCTGTAAGCTCAGATTTCAGTGTATCTCGGTCCCGGGCAGTGGAATTTTGCTCCTCTTGTAACTGAAACATCTTTTTCTGAAGATTCTCCACTAGATTTTGTTGGTCCCCTAAGTCTGCAGAATATTTCTGTTTCAAAGCTTGAAGCTCCTCATTGGTCTGGTCCCAGCTATCCTGAAGAGAGCTCATGGACTTCCCGAAAGACTGAATTTGGGCTCTGAGATCTTTGTTTTCATCTGTGACTGCAAGAAATTTCTGTTCCATTTCCATGAGGTCCCGTGCCAGCTCTGCTACTCTCTCTTCCGCTGTTTCTGTTTCATTCCTCATTATCCCAGCGTCATGATGCAGGTGCTTCAATTCCTTTTTGAGCCTGTCCTCAGCCTCCCCCACTCTCCTGGTTGCATCCTTCTGAACACTTACTAGCTCCTCCTCAAGTTCAGTTATCCTTTGCTGTGAGAGCACAAGCTTACGACGCAGCTCTTGTGCCTCTTCCTCTTGGGCCTTGAGCTGTGCTTGACACTCCATGACAGGACTTCCCTCAGTTAATGCTGTCACCTCGCTCTGAGCTCGGGACAGAGAGGATTTAAGGGTTTCAACCTCTTGAGACATGCTGACTTTATCCTCTGCCAAGACTTCCATGCTCTTCTTGAGATCGTCCTGCGTACGCTCAGACTCCTTCAGCTGTGTTTCCACGATTGCCTTCTCCTTTTCCAGAGCTTGGATTCGCTGAAGCTGAGTTTTGAGAAGTTGCTTCTGTTGGGAATCCTTAATTGAAATTACTTGGTTCAGATCTTCTCTGTACCTCACCAGGTCTGCGCTCAGCTTGGCGTTCTCTGAGTTGAGGTCATCCATCTGGCTATGAAAAACTCTGATTTCCTCCTTCAGCTTGTTGTTTTCAGCAGCAGCCTCTTGGATTATCTGGTCTTTGTCCAAGATGACAACGAGGTGGCGCTCCTCCAGCTGTTTGTACTCTCTCAGTATACGGTCTCTGTCGTCTTGCAGAGATGACATGGACTTGGTGAAGGAGTCCAGTTGTGCCTTCTGCTGTTTACTTTCTTCTCTGATTATTTTCATCTTCTCAGTGAGATGATCAAGTTTATCGTTAAGTTTGCTCTTCTCAATTTCCAAAGCCTTTTTATCTTCTTCTTCCTTGCTTAGCCTACGCTCCAACAGTGTGATGTCTTCAGAATGCTGCTGCTGTAATTCGGTCAGAGCAGCTGTAACTGCTTCTTCCTTGGCAGACAGCAAACTAACGATCTTTTGATCTTTGGCGCTCGTTTCTTCATGCAGCTTATTTGTTAGGTCCTTGGAAGCCTGCAGATCAGCCTCCAGCTGTTCACAGCTGAATTTAAAATTCTGGATGCTGTTCTCTTGTTGCTTGACCATACTCTCCAACTCTCCTCTAACCAGTTCACATCTGGCAAAGGAACTCTGCAAGTCAGCAAGCTGGTCTTTCAGGCTCCGGATCTCTGATTCCAGCTTCTGCTGTTCATCCTGGGACTCACTGAGTAGTTTTTGAGACCCTTCCAGCTGAGTTAAAAGCTCTTTTTTTTCTGCCTGCAACATTTCACATGTCTCTTGATGCTGCTGAATCTCCCTCCTGGACTCTGATTCCCAGTCTTTCTTGTTGCATTCCAGCCTGAAAAACAGAGAAGGGAAGATCACACCCAAATCAATGAGGTATTTCAGGATCCAAAACCACACTAACAATTTTCATTGATTATATTAATTGAGAAAAGCCACCAAATTAGTTTTCCAGTGATTAGCACTGAATCAGGCTTCCAAAGGGAGTGACTGAGTCACCATCCCTGGAGGCATTTAAGAGATGTTTATGTGGCACTTAGGGAAATGGTTTAGTGGTGGACTTGCTGGTGTTATGTTGATGTTTTAATTCAATAGCCTTAAGGGTATCTTCCAACCCAAATGATGCTACAGGCACATTAGCAACGACATGATAGTCCTTTCTAGAATGTGCAGCTACTGAGCCCCTCTCAGTCCCATTTATACCTTCAGTCTTTCAAAGGAGAAATTAATTTCCCCATACAGTGAGGCTCAGATTTTGTTTTCTACAAACAAAGGTGCTGTTCTCCTACAGTTGGTATCCATTCCACATTCATTTCACAACATACACCATTTCAATCAAACTCTGTAGAACAGTTTTCCTCATGAAAGAATGGCTTGTTTTTGAGTTTTGGAAATTCCAAGGTTAACATTTTGTTAGGCTTCTCTAGCTCCATCTTTCTCTCAAAATCTAATCTGGGATCAAATTGGAATTATGCATCCCCATGCTCTGTTGACATACCAAGCTTAATCTCTAAAATTAACAGCTTCCTCATAGAATCCTAGAATGGCCTGGGTTGAGAAGGCCCACAATGCTCATCTAGCTTCAACCTCCTTGCCATGGGCAGGGTTGCCAACCAGCAGCCCAGGCTGCCCAGAGCCACATCCAGCCTGGCCTCCAATGCCTGCAGGGATGGGGCATCCACAGCCTCCTTGGGCAACCTGTGCCAGTGCCTCACCGCCCTCTGCATGAAAAACTTCCTCCTCATGTCCAACCCAAACCTCCCCTGTCTCACTTTAAAGCCATTCCCCCTTGTCCTATCATTATCCACCCTTGTAAACAGCCATTCCCCCTCCATACCTCTGGCTGCTGACTCTTTAAAGGAAATACATTGACACTATTTTAATCATCATCACTTTCTTTACCTGGATATATGAATCTGAAGTTCTTCCACTTGTGTAGCCATCTGCTTCATCTGGTCCCTCAGCACAACACAAGTTTCCTCTTTCAAGCGTATTTCTTCCTCCTTCTTTTGAATCGTTTCTGTGAACTTCTTCTCCCACGTTTTGGATTCATCTATCACTCTATCCCTGTCATCCTGAAGGGAAGACATGCTCCTGGTGAAGGCTGCAAGCTGGGCCAGCGTTTTGTTCAGGCTGCCTTCCAGTTCCTTGGCTTCCCGATCTTTTGTTGTCAAGGAGCCCCGAACATCACGAACCGTTGTTTCCATCTTGTCTTTCTCCCTCTGCAAAGCTGCCAGTTTCTCTTCCATATTTTTCATCTCCTTCGAGTGCTTGTCTTTCTCCCGTTCCAGTCTTCTCTCACAGTCCTCATCCTTTTTCTTCATTTGAATTAGAGTACTCTCTTTGTTTGCCCGTAACTCTTCTTTTATTTTGACGCTCTCTGCTAGGACTCTCGCTGCCTCGCTCTGAGTGTCATCCAGCACTACTCTGCAGTGAGCAAGCTCTGCCTGGGCCTTCTTGGTGTCTTCTGTTGCTTTAGCTAAAGTCTCTTTGGCTGCTTCCAAGTCTTTCTGAGACTCACTCTGGACAAATTCTAGAGCCTTAACAGTTCTTTCTAAACTACTGATCTTCTCCTGGTTTTTAATACAGTCCTTCTGCAGCTGCTTAATCTCCTGCTGCTTCTGCTTCAGCAGCTCCTGAAGCTCCTTTACATGTGTGCTACTGTCCTCCCTCCAAGTGCGTTTCAACTTTTCTAAATACTCCTTTTGGTTTTCTGAACTTGCTTTACTTTTCTCCTTTGCCATCTGACGTTTCTCCTCCTCCAGTTCATGTATTGCTCTCTGCAAACTCTGAAGCTCACGTTTCAGTTGTTCATTTTCAATCTGGGAGTCTGTTGCATCTTGCTGATAATTTCCAATACTGCCATTAAGTTCTGCCAGCTGATTCATGAGCCTTTCCTCCAAATCATCCTTCTCAGCCTCTAAAGTGTCCTTCAGTTCTGTCATCCTGATGAGGTCCTCCTTGGTGTTTTGGACCGTTTCTTCCATCTTTGCTACTGTGTCCTGGAGAACATTTAATTCAAGGACTTTTGCTTCCATTTGGGTCTCTAAAGCCCTTTTCTCACCTTCTAAAGCCTCAACGTTCCCGCGGATATCATCCAGCTGTTGCTCTGAAGCCCTTCTATTCTCCTCTAGTTCAGTGATTCGCTCTGTCAGCTCAGCTATCTCCTTTACATAGGCATTAACATCCTCAGGTGGGCTACTACCTTCAAAAGCTTTTTGTTCCAGCTTTGCATCAGGAGACTTTGGTCCAAAACTTAAGTCCACTTGATTTTCAGTCCCCTCTATTGGGGGTGGTGTAGCAACTGCCTGATTTGTTTCTTCCTCTGTTGTCTTCAGGGAAACATACTTGTCTAACAGCTCTCTGCTTTCTTCTAGCTTGGATTCCGTTAACTGCAAGTGATGCTTTAAGTCTGTGATCTCTTGAGTAAGAGACTCCTTTTCAACCATTACAGCCTCTAGCTGAGTAGAAAGAGACTGATAATCCCTCCTAGAGCTCTCCAGCTCTTCTTTCAGGTTAGCGTTTGAAAGGAAAGCTCCATCGTCAGTCCTGTGCAGGTCCCCACCTGTGGGCTGCATCTCTGCTCTAAGCTTCTCATTCTCCTCCTCTAGCTCCAGAATTTTTTGCTGCTTTGATTTTGCAAATTTCCTCATTTTCTCCTTCATTCCATCAATCTCCTGTTCAGCTTCCTGCAGCTGCTTATCCGCCTCTTCTTTTTTCGCTTCAGCACTTTTCAGCTTCACGAAAATCTCCTGCTTTTCCTGCCTCACGGCTTCCAAAACACGCTGAATCCGCTCAGTCTCATTGCTCACATTCTCATATGACTGCAGGAGAGTTTCGTACTCTTTCTGAAGCTCCCTGTGTTTCTCCTGCCACTCAGCGCTCTCAGCAGCTTGCAGGCATTTCAAGGACTCCATCTCCTTCTCCTGCTTCTCTTTCTCTAGGAGAACTCCATCTAGAGTCAACTTCAGGTTTTTACAGCATCCATCAAGATTCTGGTTTTCTCCAAGGACCTTATTAACTTCTGCAATAAGTTTTTCTCTCTCTTCAGTGAGACTTGCTATTTTTTCTGTTAAAGTACCTGTTTCTTTAACATGGCCACCTACTTGGCTTTCCATATTATTCAACTTGACACAAAGATTCTCAATAGTAGTTTTGGCATTTGCCAATTCCTCTTTCAGTGACTTACTCTCCTTTAATGCCTCTTTTCTAGAGATAAGTGCAGCTTGCAACTTTCTCTGCATTTGATTCTTCTGTTTGGCTGCTTCTGCATCATCATCTTGCTTGTGCTGAATTTCAAGCAGCTCGGTTTGCAGTCGCTTGCTCTGTTCCTCATGTGCCTGAGCTTGAGCTTCAATCTGACTACACAGACTTTTAACAGAATCTTCTTTTTCCAGCAGCTGTGCCTTTGCATTAGCAAGAGCTTCACTTTTCTCCCTCAACTGCAAGTTCAGGAATTCAATTTCTTCGTCCTTTTGATGCATAAGTGTTTTCAGGTCTTCCAAACTGTCTTCCCTAGAAATTTCCACTTGACCTTCCTCCAGTTCTCTCCGAAGTCTTGCAGCCTCAGCTTCAGCTTGGTCAGAGGTTCTAGTCAGCCCTTCTGCCTCTGCCAACAACTGCGCTATGCGCTGTTGCAAATTAAAGACTAATTCTGATTTGCAAGCCAATTCACCTTCCATACAGCCAACCTTACTTTCCAACTCCTCCTTCTCCACCTGCAGTTTTTCAAGTTCTGCTTTAAACTCTTCCCCAGAAACATCCGTGACTTGCACAAGTTCGCTGTTTGTAGAATTTCCTGCTTCCAGGCATGAAGAATCCAAAGAGCCTTGATTCCCAGGAACGCTCTCTGTTGATCCTCTCTGTTCCTGCAGTTGCCTGAGCTGAGCTTGGATGCTTTCCTTCTCTTTCATTTGCATATCAAATTGCTCTTGAAGGATGTTGTAATCATCTTTCTGCTGTTTGAGCTGTTCTCTGTGATGCCTGTCTTTTTCTTGAGCCTTTTTTATAGTGTCTTTGCGAGATACCAGGGCTTCCTGAAGCTTTTTCTGAAGTTGTTCTTTTTCTTGTTCAAGAGTTGAAACTCTCTCTTTCAGAGCAGACATCTGGTTTTCTTCAAGATTTGTAGCTGCTGCATTGTTTTCTTCATCATCTTTTGGACCTTCATTGGTTTCAGTTAATTTGTCAGCAATTGTCTGACTTCCCATGATCTCAGCCTTAATTGAGTCAACGTTTGTCTTATCTTGCCAGCTCTGCTTCATTTCCTCAATCACCGCCTGTAACTGTGCTTCAGTAGCTTCCTTATCCAGCAGCTCCTTCCGAACGCTCAGCAGCTCAGATTCCTTTTCAGAAAGCAGCTGGATTAGGTGCTCCTCCCTGGGTGAGCTTTCCAGATTCACTTCTTGGCTTATCCTACTCATCATATGCTCTTTCCCTTCAGCTTCTTGAGCCACTGAGGTTTCTGACTCAGGCTCCATTTTCAACTGCGCCAACTTGTCCTCCAGTTTGCTGACCTTCCTCAGGAGCTCCTTCCTGTTAACAAGTGCTGCCTGCAGCTTTCGCTTTACCTGCTCATTTTCCCGTTTCAGAATCTCAAGTTCATTTGCTGATATCTCACCCTCCCTGCATTCTGCCACTTTCTCATACTGCTGCTCAGACACTTCGCAGTTCAGATATGTATCTTCCGCTTCTGTGTTTCGGTCTTCTCCCTCCTGGGCTTTTAATAAGACACTTGTTTGCTCTTTGAGACTCTTCAGCTCTGTTTCTAGAGAAAACTTCTCTTCATTCAGCAGCACCATTCTTTCAGACATGCTGATGCTGATCTCTGTCATCTGCTGTTCTTTCTCCAGCAAGGTTTGTTGCAGGCTCTCTATGCACCTGCTACGTTCAGCAACAAGCTGCTCTAGGTCTGCTGCTTCGCGGCCCTTGGAAGCTAAGCTTTGGGAAAGCTCTTCCATCTCAGCCCTGTATTTCCTCAGCAGTTGTTCCAGATCAAGGGCTTCGCATTCCTTCTTCTGGATCTGGCTTCGCATGTCTTTTAGTTGCACGTCCTGATCAGAAAGCTGAAGTTGCGCTTCATCCAAATCTTTCTGTAAAGCTTCGATTTTAACCTCTTTGGATTTGAATTCATTTTTAAGGCTTTGGATCTGTTCCTTCAGAAGACTGCTCTGGCTGTCTGACAGCCTCTGCTTTTCAGAAAGAGCTAGAGCTTCCTCCAGCTGCTTCACTTTCTCCTGCAGTTCTGTCGTGGTAGAAAGGTTCTTCATCTGACACAGGAGCTGATCTCTCTCTTCAGCCAAAGCACAGAACGAGCTGTCAGAATCCTCCATCTTCTTCCTGTATTCTTCAGCCAACTGGTTTAACCTGTTTATTTCTGCATCTCTTTCTCCCAGATCTTTCTTGTAGGATTCCTCTGATTTCTGCAGAATCATTTGCAGTTCCGCAGTTCGGTTCTGCAGATTTATCAGCTCTTGGGATTGAGAGGTGCCTGGCTCTGGAAATGCTGCAGAGGTTTCCTGTGTTGCTCCCATCTCCCCTGTGCCATGAACAGAGGCCTCTTGGGGTACCTCTTGAAGATCAGTTTTGTTTTCCTGAAGCACATTAATTGGCTGTATTTCTGTTGCTCTCTGTAATGAGCTACTGTCCAACTCATTTTGTGTGCTTGACACCTGTTGCTCTTCCCTCTCAAGAAGCCATGCCTGGGGATTCTCTTCCAGCTGGTTAGCTTCTCCTCCTGCTTGGTCAACAGCAGAAGTTTGGTTGTTTGGGTCCTTGAGCTGTCCTTTTAGAAATGCAATTTCTTCTTGAGCTTTACTCAGTTCCAGCAGCAAAACAGACAGCTCTTTCTGTTTCTGTGCAGCAAGACATTCTCCAATTCCAGACGGGCAGTTTTCTTCAGTGAACTGCTCACCTCCATTGGGAGAGCCATCTGCTCTTGCCTGAAAGACAACACAAGGTTTCACATTCCCTTTGAATCCTGCCAAAGGGGCACTTTTCATTGTCCCTACCTCATGCTAGCAGTCGCAACCAATAACAGCCTCATTAACAGGAGGACTCCTCAGCTCATTTCCCTTCCTGTAGTTGTGGCATGGGAGTCTGGCTTTAGGGTTAGACCATAAACGGAGCTTCCTGCTGTTAAAGTGTCTCAGTTCTGTGATCCTCAGAGGTGTCCTTCTGGACTTATCCAGCCATATTTTGAGACTACAGATACTGGCATCGTATCCACAGCCTCTGAACGAGGAGGTTTTGTCCTTTTCCTGTCTGTTTAACGTGGACAAGAATTTATATAGACACCCCTACTCCAGTCTGTGCTTATCTCTGAAGTGAGAACACTAAACAAAACATCTGATCTAAAGTGCTTGGCTTTTTCCAAACATTAATCTTAAGATTTCCTTCCACCCCCAAATACAGATGACAAAAGAAGAACGATCAAATCCTTGCTGGAAAGCATGGATCATCACTTTGCAAATGGGTCAGCACCTTGTGCTGCAAAGGCTAAGTTACCATGTCCATGTATGCATACAGTATTGAAAAGTAAATAGTAGTGGGTGAAATTTGTACCTCAGGTGGGACCGAAGCGTCACCAGAAGGCTTTTGCCCTTCAGAATTCACCATCTCTGCTGACACACCTGGTGATAAAATGTAGAATTCACCATCAGCAAATGGAAAGAAAATCCGTGCCACTGGAGATTCTCCAAATTCCCAGGTAGGAAACACAAAAGACTTTGAGCAATGCACTCAGTCCAGATATCCCTGTATCCCTATAATACATCCTGTATTTACTGCATGCTGACATCACCTAAGTCTACATCACGTGCAACTGCAACAGAATAATGAAGAGACGCAGACAGAGTGAACTAATACACTTCTACTCTTCCAAAAAGAACAAAATTTATTTATGAGCCCTGTAGCTCCACCCCTTCTTTGGGAACACAATGTTTTTCTAATAGCTAACAGTTAGTTCTGTTAGTTCTAGAAGACTTAAGCTCAAAACTCCCAGGTTTTGTAGGTGGTACAAGATGGTTCTTTTCTTTTTAACAAAGAAAAAATATAGAAAATATTAAATGCATTAAGAAACCAAGGCTGTAAACTTAAGCCATTTAATGTTAGGAAGCACCACAGCTTACAGAGTTTACAGCTCACTCAGTTTCACCTTTGCTATTCTGTATACATTTATATTAAAAGCATACGCATTCAAGCAATTAAGTAAACTTTCTCATCTCTTGATCACCTCTTCACGCAGTGCAAGAAGGCAGAGATTTGAGCACTTCAATGGGGCATTCCTGATTTTTGGAATTTGGAACATGGGGGAGGGATGTTTGGTAACACCTGAGACAAAAAAATCTTATTGGCTCTCACACAGGAACTCAGTGCTTCATCTTCAGTCTATTCTGCACATCTGCACCTGCATTCTCCTTCAAAACCTTCTCCTTTCTCATCTTACCCACTCCTTTCTGTTCATGTATCCTCACCTGCCTGCCTTAGTATTTTCTCTTCCAACTTCTCTGTATCTTTTCTTATCTCCTCTACATCTTCAGATTTTGACTTTAAAGCTCTTCTTTCCAAATCACTTTGGACTTTCCCTGGCAGTTCTCCCACTTCTGCAATGCTGAGGTCAACACGCTCTATTCTGTGCCCTTACCTCCAGACGTAGCAGAGCAGTCTGTGCAAGAGGCTGAATCTTCCACAACCTGCATGTTTTGTGTTTTCTCCTCAGTTCCACCGTTCTCATTCTATCAGTGGAAGAAAGCACACTTAGTTTTAAGCTACAGCCTTTGCATTAGAAGACAGCCATCTTAGCTGCTGCTCAACCAAGCTTACAGCATAAACTGTCGATCATACTTTAGACCCAACTCTGATGCCTAATGGAAATAAAAGATGGTTTAGTTATGATACTAAACAGGAGGCTGGGATATATCTCAGCAAATTAGGATACCAGTTCAGATTTAGGATATTTTCCATTCTGAAAAGCCCACTTCCTGCTCTCCTGGAGCAGCTGGACACCTGCTGGCTGACAGGAAGCCACAGGTGAAGTCTTTATTTTGCCTTTCTTATGCATCCAGCTTCAAAAAAAGGCTAGAAATGAAAAATCTACTCCCACTTGAACTAGAAAAACAACTTTTTTTTTTTTTTTTTTTAAGTTATGACTGAAAACAATGAATAGAAGTAACTTTTGCTGTTAACTATCTCAAATGTAAGCACAGAGGATCACCCAGCCAGACAAGGGCCATCTCCAGTCCCATATTTTAGAGCACTTTTGTGACTGCCAGCTGAAGAGGAACATACAGGATGCACGAAAACAATTTGTGCAACCCAAACCCTTGTATTGGGCTTGAGCTCACAGATATTTTGGGCTGAAGTAACAGGTCAAGGGCACAAGTGGCAGTAGAGAGCTGCCCAAACATGAACACTACATAAAAGCCATTTATGTGGACTGTACAGTTATCCATATACGTGTCTGGTGTTGAAATGGACACTTCCAGCACTGGATTCACAGACTGATTTTCAATACCCACCTTGGTCAAGGTGAGTCACGTGCTAAAGCACTGTTCTCTCCAGTGCCTCTAAAGGGGCTCCAGGAAATAGCTGACAGCCTTACATCTGCCCTTGGAAAGACCATGAGCACACACACATTTATGTTCATTTATATATGAACATAATTTATATATAGGTTCATTTATATATGAACCTGCAGGGCCACCAGCTTACACCCCAATGCCAGGCAGCTGGAACACAAGGCTCTGGGTAAAGCAGGATGGACTGACTCTGCACTTGCAAGCCCCAGTTGTCACCTTTTGGCGTGATTGCTCCATGACAACAAACACTTAAGGAACCCATCTTTGGCATACGAACACGTAACACCTTCCATCCCCACTTTTAAATCAGTAGCCAATAAGAAAAGTCAATAAATGTGACACTTCACCTTATGCTATACGATCACTGGAGGAGCAGAGGAGCTGGAGAGTTCACACTACCAACTGCCTCTGTGTTGCAGAGGACTGTATTACATAAAACCCAGCATCATCTTCTCCCCCCTGCTGGCAGATGGGAGCAGAGCAGAGCACTCTGGCAAGAGCCCAGACCTTGCTCTAAGCTAACAACTCTACAACTAGAATGGATACAGAGGCAGCCATCTCCATCACCTTGCTGATGGAACGTGAAGCAAAGCAGAAGGTATCCAAACCTTCCTGCAATTCTGCACGAAGCTGTTTGTGGTGGAAGCATACAAAGATACACCCAAAATCCTCTGTTTGACAAAGAGAAGTCAGCATGCTGCCAAACCCCCATCGGGGCAGAGGGGACAGGAAGGATTTGAAAGGCAACCTGTAAAGGCAGCTAAGACTTTGGAACCGTGTGTCCTCAGAACTCTCTCAGTTTCGCCTATGATTTTGCTGAAGAACTAACTCATAAGAGGTAGAAAATAGCAAGAATATCAATTGGGAGGATGAAGGACACAGGAATTCCAAAGAGCAAAGGGAAACGTGGTCTGATAAGAACACAGGACAAGCAGTATTTGGAAGCTATTTCTGTCTTTCGCCATTAATCCAGTTAATAATAACCTTCCAAAGAGGATTGTTAAAAAAGGCCATCACAGCTTAGCTGTTTTAAGGCCAGTCCTTGACCTGTTTTAGTTTTGGCTTAATCATTACCTCTGAATTTTCTGCAACCATTGCAGCTCCCTGCTGAGGCTCCTGGAGAACAGGCTGGGACCTCTCTGAAACATTGAAGAAAAAAAAAATGCACACATTAAGCAATTTATTTGAAAATTAAAACTCTCATTTAGAAAGCAATACGGTATTCGTCCAGGAACATCTGAGAACGGGACACAGAGAAAATAGACCAGCATTGGACAATGTGCTTTTTTTTCCCCTGAAAAAAAAAGGAACTACCAAAGCACAACAGAGATTCTAAGCACCTCTTAGAAAATAAGATATTACTGTTCTTTTCCCCTCAGAAAGGAAAATGGGGAAGGACACAATGATCAGTTCTCCCTAATAACGAGTGATAGGATGCATGGGAACAGCACAAGGCTGCGTGGGGGGAGATTCAGACTGAGTATTTGATAGCATTTCGTTACCATGAGGGTGGGCAAACACCACAGCAGCCTTCCAGGAGAGATGGTTGATGCCCCACTCTCATCAGTGCTCAAGAGCCATTTGGATTCCACCTTCAGTAATGAGCTCCACATTTCTGTTAGCCCTGCCACGTTCAGGCAGCTGCAGTTGATCTGTTTCATCCCTTCCAAATGAACAACTCTATTTTTTTCTTAATTGGTTTGCAATCATAGGACAACCAATAGAGTTTCAGGGTGCTTTTTATTATTATTATTATTATTGTGTTTCTTTTAAAACAAAGAAACAAACCTTCTTATAAAGGACAGGGAACAAATTACTGTTGTAGCAGTACTGTTGTAGCTACTGTTGTAGCATCTCAATTTCATTGAGATAAAAATGAAGAGAAAAATCAGAGAAGAAGACACTGAAGGGCTACTGTCCAAGTCAAGAATGGCACAAGAGTTCAGCTGCTGTTTGTTTGAGTCAGCAGGTTCTTATCCTTATATTCCTGAAAACTGGCACACAAACCCCACTTATGATAGGCACAACACTGTACCAATATGATGAAACACAACCAGCTTGGGAGCTGAAGGGAGAGAGCAGTATTGCCTGCCTGGCTGGAAAGGCTTTTGATAGTGTTATAGAACTCAAAATCCTCAGACAAGCTCCTGATACATGGGCTGTGCCAGAGGGCAGCAGTCAGCAAAACTGTGCTACAGAGACCTTCCATTCAACACCACTCCTATCCTCCCGTGCAACTGGGAACTCTGGCACCAAGACCTCCTTAGGAGCTGGCATAGAAACAAAGCCAACAGAAGGCAATCCAGTGATCCTTAGGCTAATGAGAACCCCTTCAGCAAAATGCTGTGCTTACTCACCTTGTAGATTCTGCACTGCTGTGCTGCTTTCAGCAGACAGCACCAGCAGCTGGCCAACCTCCTGCTTCAGCTGATGGTTCTCAGCTACAAGGGCAGCATAGCTGGATTGGAGCTCTTGTTCAGCTGCCTTAAGACAACTGATCTGTAGATTCTTTTCTTCCATTTCCAGTCGCTGTTTCTGCTCCAAGCTTCTGTACCTCTCTAATTCTGCTTGTGCTGCTCGTGCCTCTTCCAGCTGCTCTGAAAGACACTGCACCTCCTCCTGCAAGCGATGGGAGCACAGCTTCCTCTCGGCCACTTCCAGCTCCATCTTCTCTCTGAGATCCCGAGATTCTCTTCTCTCTGCATCCAGCACATCTCTCAGAGAGCTCAGATCCACTGCCATCTTCTGGCACTGATCTCGGAGCACCTGTAAAAGGACATGGAAATTAATTTAACTCAGATCAAAACAGCACCAAAGCGAACTCCACGAACTGCATCTTAAAATCACCACTAAATCTTTTTCAAATATTTTATCAGAAGAAGGAAATCAACATAGCAGAACTCTCAGTTTGTTAGGGAACCTGCCCTACTGTTTGCAGCTTGCAAGGAAATAACACTGGAAGGAACAAGAGTTCTCATTGTGAGTACAGAAAAGAAACACATTTACTTAGAGCAAGAGGGTAGGACAGGAAAACACAGCATTACAGAGGCCATGAATTCTCTTCTGGGGGAAAGAAAGCTTCTCAAGAAGGGGAGGAAGCACTACAACAAAAAGAGGGAGAATTCAACAATTACAGAGGACAATTAACAAGCAGAACAACAAAGTGTATGTGAAATTATGTCAAAAAATAAAAAGCTATAACAGGGATCTAGAGGTGACACAGTGCCCCACACTACACTCAGTGGCTCATGGAAGACCTCAGCAAGCTGGCAGACACTGAGCAGAGGTTAAAGCCAGCCAGGGAAGAGATGCAGGCCCTAACAGCCATGGCAGAATTCATTCTGCCAAACTTCCTGCTCCTGAGCTGTGGGTGCTCAGCAGGGCTCCTGAGGAGCTCTGTAGGAGGAGGAGCATCTTCTGCCCCAAGGCCTCAGGGGATGGCTGTAGCAGGCTCTCCTGCTGACCAGACACCGGGTGTAGGGGGAGTCAAAGGCACAGAGGAGGAATCTGAGGACTGTGCCACGAATCAGGATGAGCAGCAGTGAGTACATGCATCAGAGAGGATAAATCCATTTACGTGTAAGTTGCACCCTATCCTGCACCACTCCACCACTGGGGGTGGGCTGGGAAGGGCAGTGCTACCACAGAAACCATTGGGAAAAAAAGGTCAGAGCTCTTCAACCAATATACACAAAAGGAACAAAAAATGGCTTCTTGCTTTCTCTACAAAACTACGCTTCATCCATTGAACACGTAATGCAAACTCTGTGATGATGACAATCAGGAAAATAAAGCACATGCACTACAAAATGGATCCCCAAGATGAAGATGTGTTTCTCTGTACATAGTTTGCAAGATCAAAACCAAGAGAAACTGATTCATTTCAGAGCTACAGAAGCAGTTTGCAGCCATTTGGTCAGAAATGAGTCCTTCCCACTTCTCTACAGTGAAGCAGCTCACATTTGCTCCAAATTGCTTCAGCTTTCAAAGCCCTCACCAACAAAAAGCAGATGATCCAGCCACGTCCTCACAGAGCACATTATAAATGAATAAAGGAGGAAGGATGGCAGGGTTACACATTACTGAGGCCAGGGAGACTCGGAATAAAAGCTGATGTTTCTCCAGGAAGCACAGAATTGGCCTTTGAAGCCTGAACGGACAAAGAGCACAAGAGAACAGAACAGCAGCAGAGGTTTCATCTCTTCATAACTACCAGTGATGAGGATCTGATCATGAAATGAGTTTGTAGCACAGCTGTCTGTGTGACTGAGAGACACCCAGGTGACGCCCTGCACCACTGTCCCTGACACTGACACAGCAGAGGTCTCTGAAGGGCTGGAGATTCTGAGAAGCTTTGAGATTGGAAACACAAAGGCATTCGTTGTAGATCTGCACGGGAAGCGGCTTCACTTGGTGCAGCTGCAGTCAGATTATTTCTCACCAGGCAACTATGCAAAATTCGTTCTACTCATCCTCATTTGGTACAATCTCTGTTTTTCTGTTCATTCTCATAGATGGGTGGACACAAGAACGTGCTCTTTGTAAGATGAAACAGTCACAACTGGCAGTGTGGTGTGGGAAAATACAGTAGTGGGAAATAGCAGAGGGGCTGAGCAGCAGGAACACAGAGCGGGACGTGGGGAGGACATGAAGGGATGACAGAAGCAAGGGATGCAACGGAGACCCAAAGGTCTTCAGCACTTCACAGAGATTGGCTAAAAAAAGGCAGTTCTGGAATTGGAGAGAAGTGATTTGAGGAGTAACAAAAGGGACAAGGAGCACTCCGTGATGTATTGCATGACATACAGACAACAGCTATGGCACAAAACACACCAAGCAAAGTAAAATCAGATACAGCGTGAACTTGTGGACTAACACAGAGGTGTAAAACCATCTCAGCAAACATAAAAAAATGCCTCTAAGTGGATCCTGGATTGAGGAATGAGCCACAAACATCAAATCCATCCAGTTTGGAGATCTGTGGTGCTGACAGCTCGCTGTATCCTTCGTCCTCAACCAGCTGGAAGCCATGGAACTTTGGGGGAGGACCACAAAGCCAGAAATAGAGGCAGATATCAGGAGATGTGTGCTGTATTATTACTGAAACATCCTCTGTGTAGTGGTATTCATTTCATTTCCTTTTCTGCTGCAATTAAGTCTGTGCCCTCCTTTGGAAGGAAGGAGTTAATGAGCCTGGTATGTTAATGAACCTGCTGGCTGATTCCGTGCTGCAATCCTTGCGCCAGCAATAAGCTCATGTGGGAACTTCCACAAGCTCTGTCAGTACAAAGCTCCTCCCATCCACACACAGTAAGGCAATAAGCACACCAAAGGGCACCTGGTTTTGTTGTTCAGCCCCACGTAGCTCCTGCTGCAGCAGTTCCACCACCTGTGTTTGTCCCAGCAGAGCTTCTTCTCGCTCCTCCAGCTTCCTCTGAAGCGTAAGCAGGTTCTGTGGGAGAAGGGTCTGTAAGAGCCCCTGAGAGGCTACTGCAGAGGGACCACATCCCCTAAGTTTCACCCACCCACCCACTCCTTGCAACAGTTACTTTAATGGCCCAAATTGCTCTTATTGATGTCCACCACAGAACCAAAGTGCAGCAAGGAAAGCTCACTGCTGTTTCACAAATAGGGAACGGCAGCACTACAGCTGCATTCAACAATAACTACATTCCTACCTGCAACAAGGGAAGTTTTACAGCAGCTCAGCAGGCTGAAGGGGGAATGCTGGAAGTGTGGAATATCATTCTAAAAGCAACCTGACAGCCCCAAGCCATCAGCTCCATCTCCTCTCACCGCTGCTCACTTTGCTGAGAACAGCTTTCCCAGTGCATCCTCTGGCTCTCAAAATGTATTTTCTTTTCTCCTCTTCACAACAAGGCAATTATAACAAACATACCTGCTGCACCTCTGCTTCCTGAGCTGCTTTGTCTGCTGTTCTCAGCAATTCAGCTTGGTGCTGGTGAACCTGCTCTGTGAGGAGAGCTTCCTTCTCCTGAATTACTTCCTGCAGCGAGCTCAGCTGAAAACAGAAACCAAAATACAGTAACCAGAGAGGAAAAAGAAACAAGCAAACATAACCCAAGAGGGTTGTAAGTGTGACAGATGTGCAGGTGTGCTTTCAGCATCAGCACATCACTCATGTCTGGCAACCCTCTGTGTGGCTTTGGTCAGACAGCAACTCCAGCACTGTAACATACAGACATCAGCAAGTGACAGTTCAGATCCCATATAGAAAAGAACATACCATAAAACATACATGATAAAACATAATCACTACAAGTACGAGCTGGTAAAGCTCCTGATTTTGTATTTGCACTGGATCCTGTCCACTGCACAGATCAGAAGCTAAAAGTGACATCCACAGCACTAACATCAGCCACCCCAGAAAGGCTCACAACAGCAGCAGCTCTATGTGATAACAAGCTCATCTGCTCATCCCCAGCAAAGCAGAGAGAGGCAATGATGGGGATGGGAGAAGCTCCAAAATTCATCCCAGAACAGTGATAAAACACCATAACCCATCCACTAAAGCACAACAGGAGGCAGGAGCCCAAATCCCAACTCAGAGCAAGGGCTTCCCTGCCCAGCCCCATCCAGGGGCTGCTTCCTCACCCCGTGCTCAGAGAGCCACCTCTCTCATTAGCCAAGAGGGAAACTCAGTAAAAGAACTCCACTGCTGAGCACCTTTTGCATGAAGTGGTGGAGACAACCGAGGGATAATAGGGTGGGAAGCAGCCAAAGAGTGTTCTGGGATTGCACAGACTGACTGTGGGGTGTTTGAAGGAAGAACTAAAAGCATGGAAGCGCATGGATCTAGGATGTTTGGGAAGGAGCAAGCACAAAATAGGTGGCAACGGTATTAAAAAAGCAAGCTGTGTGTAACAGCAGCTGGTGGACACGTCTGTCTGGCCATACCCTGGTGGATCCGGCCATACCCTGCATCTGATCAGCACTCTCTCTTACTGAATTGTATTTCTAATTCTTTTTCTTTTCTGTGGGAAACACCTGTCCTCCAAGGGGAAATGCATCTGAGAGCCTCTCATCAGAGTCAGGCTGGGGGCCAAAGGGCTCATGAGCCTGTGGTGATGGCAACTGAAGCCATGCAGCTGAATGCATCACCTCCAGCTAACATCACCTCCAGCTAACTCCAAGCCAGGTGACACAGTAAGCACAGAATCCTTAAGAGTTGGACTTCATGGCCTTTAAAGGTCCCTTCCAACTGCCCTGCAATGCACAGGGACACCACAGCTCCATCAGGCTGCCTAGGGCCTGGTCCAGACTGGCCTTGAAAGGGAGGTCTCTCCAGGGACAGAGCACCCACCAGATCTCTGGGCAATCCATGCCAGCACATCACCACCCTCACTGTGCAGGACTTTTTCCTTATATTCCACCTAAATCTCATCTCTCCTCCTTGAGCTTGAAGCCATTTCCCCTTTTTCTGTCACCACAGACTCTGTTCAACTGTCTGTCCCCTTCCTGCAGCTCCCCTGCAGACACTGACAGGCCACTCTCAGGTCCCCTCACAGCCTTCTCCTCTCCATGCTGCACAGCCCCAGCTCTCAGCCTGTCCTCATAGGAGAGGTGCTCCATCCCTCGGCTCATTTCTGTGGCCCTCCTCTGGACACGCTCAAACAGATCTGTGTCTCTCCTGTGCTCAGGACTCCCCATCTGGGCTCCATGCTCCAGGTGAGGTCTCAGTGCAGATGCCCTCCCTCAAAAGGGAAAGATGGGGAATAGCACCCAAATTCAAAATCACAAGCAGACTTGGCTGTTGGATGGCCAAGGGAGCTCCAGCTATACCAGAGGGACCACAGCACCTCGAGGGGCTCTAAAAGCAAGACCTGCTTCTCTGTATTTTCACATCTCTGAGGGGAAGACAGCAGGGAGCCAGTTAGCAGAGAGAAGGGTGTGCAGCTGTGTATTATGAGTGTCTGCGTGTATCCACACCTCTCCAAGGAGAGCAGCACAGGGGGCTGGCTGTCAGAGGGACCAGGGGAATCCCAGTCAGCTCTGTGCACGTCTTCAAGACCAGCAGGTCTGTGCCTACAGGTGGAACAGAACCATAGGCCCCATGGTTTTGCACATTCACATGTCAGGAAGTGGAAAAACTGGGGTTCAAGAGCTGATTACTGAGCAGACTGAGCACAGATGCTGGGAGGACCCACGACCTGCTACTGTGCATATTCTCACCATTCTTTCATCTGTGCTAACAGAGAGAAAAACGTCCTTTGTGTGCTCTCATACCAGTGCTGCACTGTATGGCTGTCTGCACACACAGATGCACGCCCTGAACACACACACAGCTGCCAGGAGCAGTGCTCTCAGGATGGACCTTGGGTCCTGGAGCCCAGGTTTCTGCCAAGATGGCTGGATTTGGGCACATCCCCACCAGCAGCAGCATGTCACCAGGAATAGGTCTCCCTTGTGAATTACATCAGTGTAAGTGGTGGGGTGAGAAACACAGTCAGAGAAAAAAAGCTTTGTTTTTCCCCACGTACCTGTGATGCATATTTGATTTCAGTGTCTTTCAGGTTCATCTCAGCTAAAGCCAGCTGCTCCTTCAGACCCCTTACAGTCTCTTCCTGCTCCCTGAGCTGCTCTTCCAGACCTTCAGCTTCATCCCTTTGCTCTTCTCTTGCATTTTGGTTATTCTGACACTGCAAGAAAGAATCAGGAAAAAAAGAAACATAAGCAAGAAAACTATTGGTATTACTGTCAATTTTGGAAAAAACAAAACACCAAACACCACTGCACTGGACTTCAAACCACGTGCTTATTTTTTACTACTTTAAAAAAATAAAAACTCTTTACTTGTTTTCTTTTTCACTTCATTCCTTTGCCAGTAAAGCCCTCTCACTTCAACATCTGTGCCACCCTCTCGGTGCCCTCCTTCCTGGCACAGCTCTAAGAGGAAATTACGTTTCTTCTAAGCTTGGCTCAGTGCTGTCACAAACTTACTTAGCATACTTTCAAGACATTTAAGTCATCGACAAAACCATCAAAGAGATGTGGCCCTAAAACAGAGCCCTGCAGAACCCCTGCAGCCTGATGGAAGCCCAACTGTCAGCCAACTGCTCACCCATTGCACTGTGGTTTTGGCTACCATATGCTGGATGCTTTGTCCAGAAGGATACTGTGAGAAACAGCCTCAAAGTTATACTGGAATCCAAAAAACAGACACCAGCCCTTGGTCAGCTGGTGGGGATCTCATCTTAACAGAAGATGCAGTCTGTGAAACAGGGCTTGCTTCTTGTGAGCCCATGAACCTTTGACCAACGACTTTTCAGGATTGCCTTTCAGGTGCTTTTCAATTAGTGGCCACCCCTCACCTCAGAGCTCACATCTTAATGTCACTCACACTCACCTTTTGACTTTCCCTACAATTCCTAACTTATTTTTTCCTCTCCCCAGTGTTTCTAATCACCTTTTACCCTCTTTGGTTTAGTGAAGATCACCCCAGTGTGCAGTGACCTCTCTGGGCTTCCATCTCCCTCCTCTTGCCAACTCGCACAAAGTTCTTCTAAAAAGATGATGTGGTCAGCAGAACAGTTCCCAAAGTTCTCACAAATTCAGCAGTGCCTGTGGTAGCTCCTCACCAGCAGTCAGCAGCTTCTTTAACATCCTGGCATGGGACATTCCTGCCCCTCCTCTTACCCAGGTTCACACAAACGGTTCCAGTTTACCACGAAACATTGCAGAGGCACAGGAAGATACATGGCTTAGAAATACCATCTTGCATTTAAGTTACTGCCTTCCAACTACTCCTTCTGTCTTGTATTCCAGCCTACCTCCCCTCTCTTTTGCTGTGCTATCAGAACAGGTAACCTTTGGAAACAGCTCACACACAGATGTGATTTCTGCAAGAACTTTACCCATAAGAGAGTACTGAAGATACACAGCATGAAACTGACCCGTACCCTTGGGGAGATCAAGCTGTGCACCCCAAGGAGGTCTGTAGCACAGAGAAGCTGGACAGATCAGCTTCCTGCAGCAGACATCCTTGCTGGGACTGTGGATGTCCTGCTAACAACAGAAGGGCGAGACCTAAGACACAGGGCAACCCCAGACGATCTGCAGAAGCAACATCTTTTAATTCTCCCAACCTTAGCACACATTTGCTCCCCTGGCACGGCCTGTGCAGGCAGCAGAGGGCCCTTCTCTGTCAGCTCCTCGATGCGTTTGTTCAGAGATGCCAGCTTGGCTTTGGCCTGAAGTTTCAGCTTCATCAGCTTTGCATCAGCAGCCTCGCGTTCCTCCTGGAAGAGAAGAACACAAATGGGCTGTGCTTAAAATCCCAGTGCTGCCCACCATCCTGCAAGCACCACTCATAAAAGCTGCAGTTTTGTCAGTCTGCCTCTTTGCCCAAACCCCTCTCACTACCAATGCTAATTAAAGCATTCAGAAAACAAACTTGCTCCAAAGCGCTTTAAACAGCAGAACAGTTGCATGCTTCTGCTCTGCCAGTTTCTCTCCGGGGGATGGACACTCAAGGGACATTTCCTAGCAGTCAGAACAAGTTAAATTTGACTCCCTCTACAGTATGCAGTCCCTCAGGACTTCCTCTCCTGCAGTGCCTCAGGATAAGCAATACATAAATTTGTTTAAATGCCACAAACCACTGGACTGCTGGGAGGCTGCAGCACAGCCTGGTAGATCCCAAATGCTCTGAACTGGAGGGGAAAAAAAACACTGACATAAAAGATATCAGCACTTGTCAGAGCAATGACAACTCCAAATGAAAATGGCATCTGGACGCCACGTCTTCACTTCAGAGGCAGCTACACCTAAACAAAGGGCACAGAAGCAATCCCACATCTCTTTGGTTGAGGCCCACTCTTTGGAATCCCAAACCCGGCACCTTCAGCAGTGCAGGCATCTCAGTGGCAGAAGAAAACACAAAGCAGCCTGCACAGAAAGCTGACACAGCATTTCACACCTGCTGTTAGGTCCTTGGTTAAAGAGATGATACCTTGAGCACAGCTTCCTTTTGCTGGAGCAGGGCATCCTTCTCTCGGATCAAATCCTTCAGCTGGACAACCAGCTTCTCAGTCTGTGCTAACCGTTCCAACAGGTCCTCTGGTGCCTCCTCCATGCCTCCTCCTCCCAGCTCTGAAGGCTCTACCTGAAACAGTGAGATGAATGCTCTGGAGGAGCAAAGTCCAAACAGACCACAGCACACATCCTGATGTCACCTTCAGGTCCGCTCCTAAACGCTGCCTTCTTGTTCCTTGCAAACATTGCATGCAGCCTACAGAACTATACATGATTATGTGAAATAGTGGGAAAAGATCATTGAGAAAAAGATGTTGGGGATGCCCCGTTCCTGGAGGCATTCAAGGCCAGGCTGGATGTGGCTCTGGGCAGCCTGGTCTGATGGCTGGTGGCCCCTCCACATAGCAGGGGGTTGGAACTGATGATCATTGTGGTCCTTTTCAACCTAGGCCATTCTATGATTCTGTGCATAAGGGGGGGGAAGAAAGAACAACAACAAAGAATGCATGCATCTTCAATGAACACAGGAAAGCTGAAGTGAGTGGCTCTCAGGAGATGCCACCACTCATGTAGTCTGCACTGCCCGAGGTGCTAAAAGGCAGCCTGCAGATCAAAGTCTTCTCCTGGCACCCAACTGTGCACAGCTCCTCTTCCTGCTTACAGAACCATTAAAACTTGGAAGTCTTTCTTCATTCTCATTCTAATACTTTTTCTAGCATCACTTTGAGATTTAGAAACTTACGTAGATTTTGGTTTGCCCCACATAAGCACTGACTTAAGATGATGGGAATTCAGAAGCAGAGTGGAACGTTGGCTCAGTAGCTCCTTCAGCACTCAGCAGTGAAGGAGGAAATAGTTCTCACTGCAGCCAGATGGTTTACACTCCCCAAACCAATTCTATGTGATGCCTGGAAGTCTTCTCACAGAATCACCAAGGTTGGAAAAGACCTTCAAGATCACCCAGTCCAACCATCCACCCATCCCCAATAGCTCTCACTAAACCACATCCCTCAACACAAAATCCAGATGTCCCTTGAACGCCTCCAGGGTAGGATGAGGTTTAACAGAAGCAAGTGTGGAGTCTTGCATCTGGGGAGGAATAATTGCATGCACCAGTACAGGTTGGGGGATGAGCTGCTGGAGAGGAGCTCTGCACAGAGGGACCTGGGTGTCCTGGTGGACGACAGGTTGCCATGAGCCAGCAGTGTGCCCTTGTGGCCAAGAGGGCCAATGGCATCCTGGGGTGCATTGCACAGAGCGTGGCCAGCAGGTCGAGGGAGTTGATCCTCCCCCTCTGCTCTGCCCTGCTGAGGCCTCACCTGGAGCACTGCGTCCAGTTCTGGGCTCCCCAGCACAAAACAGACAGGGATCTCTTGGGAAGAGTCCAGCGGAGGGCCACCAAGATGGTGAGGGGCCTGGAGCATCTCTGCTATGGAGAAAGGCTGAGTGAGCTGGGTCTGTTCAGCCTGGAGAAAAGAAGGCTGAGAGGGGACCTGATCCAGGTCTGTAAATATCTGAGGTGTGGGGGGCAGAATGGCGAGGCCGGGCTCTTTTCAGTGGTGAGTGGAGACAGGATGAGGGGAAACGGCCGGAAACTGCAGCATAGGAAGTTCTGCACCAATGTGCGAAGGAATGGCTGTGCAGTGAGGTGAGGAGCACTGGAACAGGCTGCCCAGGGAGGTGGTGGTGTCTCCTGCTCTGGAGATGTTCAAGACCTGCCTGGATGCCGACCTGTGCGACCTGCTGTAGGAACTGCGTTGGCAGGGGGTTGGACTCCATGAGCTCTGGAGCTCCCTTCCAACCCCTACAATTCTGTGATTCTGTGACTCCACCACCTCCCTGTGCAGCCACTCCAGTGCCTGACCACTCTTTCAGAAAACATTTTCACTACAGCTTACTTACAGTGTCAGAGGACTCAGACTCAATAACTGCATCTCCACCATCACCAGACAGCTCTTGTAGAACAGTATTTGCCAAACCTGACAAACGGCTCAGCATCTTCAGCCTGAAACAAAGCAAAGAGTCAGGATACAGCCAAAACTGCTAGGGGAAAAAAAAGGCATCCCTCCACACTGGTCAGGCTTACAGAGAATGCAACTGCTCTGCCAAGAGAACACAGTGCTTTACCTCAGCTCACTGAGTTCTTGCACTTTTACCTTTCCAATCCTCTGCCCCATCCCACCTAGGAAGGGAGAGCAAGCAGCTGCATGGTGCTGAGCTGCCAGCCAGGATTAAACCACAAAAGAACAGAAAAACCTCAGGAATTGCATTGGGTTTGTGTGACAAGGTTTGGGCAGCAGGGGTGGCCTCTGCCAGAGGAGTGCAGGAGCTGCTTCATAGCACAGGCAGCTCCGGATGCTGAGTGCACCTCCAGGAGAGCAGATTGAAGGAAGGGGAAGAAATGCTGCGCCACTCAGAGAGAGAACGTTCAGAGAACACCAAGGTGGGTGCAGGAGGAGGGCAAGAGGTGCTCCAGGCATGGAATAGAAGTTCCCTGCAGCTTACGGAGAGGAGCCCACTGCAGAGCAGGCAAATGTGGCCTAAGGAGGCTGCAGCCCACGGAAAGGCCCTGCAGAAGTTGGCCCCAGGTCTGAGTGCAGCCCGTGGAGGTAAGTCTATGCTGGAGCACATCATTGGGCAGGAGCTGCAGCCCGAGGGACCTCACACTGGAGCAATCCATCCCTGTGGGAAGCCTGTGCAGGATCGGTTTGGGAAGGATGGCATCCCATAGGAGGGACCTCAAGCAGGGCGAGGGAGGAGAGCAGAGGTGAAGCATTACAAACTGAACATGTCTGCCATTCTCCCACACTGCTTGGAGGGAGGAGGCAGGAAGAGTTTTTAGTTTGTTGTCAGTTCTCCTTGCTCTAGCCTGACTGCAACAGAACATGCAAGTATCATTAGATAGAAACTCAAGCTTACATCAAGTTCTGAAGTCTCCTCCGTTTAGCCAGCAGGAGACTTCTCAAGCTGGCTATATGCTCATTCTCAACCTCCTTTATCTCTGCAAACAAACCCCTCCTCTCCCATTGCCACTTAGAGCATGGAGACACCAACAAGGGTGAGAATCACACATCACTTCAGCGTGGCAGCCACAGCTCCCAACCACCTGACTTTAAGCTGGGTGTGCTAACATGCATTTCTCTATCGGGAAGCAAAAAGGCCACGTGAACACCAACCTCCTTCATGGACTGGGGAGCTTATAGGTCTGCTTGTTCAGCAGGGGGGAGGTTTGCAGGGCAGTGCTGCTGCTCACACACAGCTCCTTCACACCATTCCTGTTTATCTCGTGGGTCCTGGCAGGTCACAGCAACAAAGGGTCCCTGAAGGCAGAAGAGAAGAAAAACAATTTATTTGACAGTAAGGAGATAAAACCTCTCTCCTTTCTACACAACACGCTCTGGGTCTATCACAGTCACTCATCTGTGGTAAGCATTGAAAGTGAAAAGTCTTCCTTGTTTGGAAAATATGATTTCTCCTGTCCTTGCAAACGCACACTCTGATTTCCAATGCTTTCAAACTCTGTCCCTGCAGCCTGCAGAACAGAACGCCTGGGAAGCAGTGAAGCAAGCAGGCAGGTCTTGGACTCCTGTAAACAGTTCTGGAGGTGACACTTCTGGTGAAGGACACTGCAATGAAGCTAGGAGTGCTCATGTTCTGTATCAGTGTAACAGCCAGCAAACGCAGTGCCAGTACCTCACATGCATCCCAGCTGGCCTGCACCCATCGTGGAGCTCCAAAGCAACGCAGGCTTACAGGGAAATTTCTTCTTTCACCATTAGCTGTTTGCCAAGCTGGCAACAGAATAGACTCATTTAAAGGCATGGAAAGTAAAAACGCCTCTGTGACCACCAGCAATGTTTGAGGGTGAATCTGCTCTTCCCACTCAACACAAGGCCACAGCTTCTCAGTGTCACAAACGTGCACAACCTCTACTCCAGGCCAGTTCCAGACAGCTTCCCAAGGAGGGGAGCTCCACAGCTGCCCTGGGTTGTGCTGAGGCTCCATCACCACACAGCAGATGAGCACTTCGTGGTGTTCAGAGGTGATTTCCTGCATTCCAGTTTGCGTCCACTGCCTCATCCCATCCATGGGCATCACTGCAGCTCGGCTCCATCATCTTTGCACCACCCCAGAGGCTGAACACAGGAATAGCAGAATTACTGTCCCAAAGCCAGGTCAGCACACACATTGGTCTCACTGACTTGGGGCAGAAACAGCCCAGTGCTTGCATTTCCTATTTGCTTAGTTAGCATCATGGAGCCATTCAGGTTGGAAAAGACCTCTAAGACTGAGTCCAACCACTAGCTGACACTATCAGACCCCACCACTAAGCCACATCCCTCAGTGCCACATCCACCATCTCTTCCATGCCTGCAGGGCTGGTGACAGCACTGCTGCCTGGCACAGCCCATCTCAGCACCTCACCACCCTGCCCATGGAGGCACTCACTCTTCCTAATGACCAATTTAAACCTTTCCTGGCACAACTTGAGGCCATTTTCTTGCATCCTGTTCCTCATCACCTGAAAACAGAGATGGCCCCTCCTCACTGCAGCACCCTGCCAGGCAGTTGCACAGTGACGAGCTCTCCCCTCAGCTTCCACTTCCCCACATGGGACCACCTGGATTCCCTCAGCTGCTGCTCAGAGGTCGTCTTCTCCAGTCCCTTCACCAGCCTCATTTTTTGAACACATTCCTCCAACTCACTTCCTTGTAGAGAGACAGGCCCCAGACAGAACACAGCGCTGAGCTGTGGCCCCAGCAGCGCCATGCAGAGGGATGGGCACCTCCTGCTCTGCTGCTGCTATGAGCCAGGATGTCACCGGCCTTCTTGGCCACCCAGGCACAATGCTGCCCCGTGTTCAGCTGCCAACCAGTACCCCCAGCTCCTTCTCCAGGCACTTTTCCCCAGGCCAACACTGCTGCATGAGGTTGCTATGACCCAGGCACAGGACACTGCAATTGGCCTTGCTGAACAGCATTGATCCATCCTATCCAGATCAACCTGCAGATTTTCCTTCAGGTACCCAAAGGGGAGCTACAGGAAAGAGGGGACAGAGTCTTGAACAGAGTCTGTAGTGACAGGACAAGGGGAAATGAATTCAAGCTTAAAGAGTGTAGATTTAGCTTGGATATAAGGAAAAAGTCTTTCACAGTCAGGGTGGTGAGGCACTGGAACGGGTTGCCCAGAGATGTGGTTGAAGCCCCACTCCTCCAGACTGTCAAGGCCGGGCTGGAACAGGTCCTGGGCAACCTGATGGATCTGTAATGTCTCTGTGCGTTGCAGGGGAATTGGACTTGATGGTCTTTCAAGGTCCTCTCCAACTCTAAGGGTTCTACGATTCTGCGACTCCTAACCTCAGGCTGATCAATGTTCATGCCTAAGTTGGCACCATCTGCAAACCTGAGGAGGCACTTGACCACCTCATGCAGATCACTGATAAAGCTATTAAAATTGCCCCAATCCTGAGCCCTGAGGAGTGCTGCTGGCAAACAGCCACCAGTGGGGGTTAACCCCACTCCCAGAGACGCAGCTCCTCTTCCCTCAGAGAACAGAACCTCCACCCGAGCCTCGAGAAACCAATTCTTGAGGAAAATTGGGAAATACCAAACACTGTGCTAAGGCTGAGCACGTGGCAGGAAGGAATCACACAGGATGGACCAACTCCCTCATAAGCAGCAGTCGGCAAACACAGGATGCACGCAGCTCAGTGCACACCCCACTGCCTCACCCAGTGTGCAAACAGCACAGCTGGCAGCGAGCAGCCACAGTTCCTCTGGGCCCACAGTGATCACAGAGGGGTTCTACCACTCCTATGGGCCCATAAGGATCAAGAAGGAATGGATTTAAGCTGAGACAGGGGAGGTTTGGGTTGGATCTGAGGAGGAAGTTTTTCATGCAGAGGGCGGTGAGGCACTGGCGCAGGTTGCCCAAGGAGGCTGTGGATGCCCCATCCCTGCAGGCATTGGAGGCCAGGCTGGATGTGGCTCTGGGCAGCCTGGGCTGCTGGTTGGCGACCTGCACACAGCAGGGGTTGGAACCAGGTGAGCACTGTGGGCCTTTGCAACCCAGGCCATCCTATGGCTCTATGATTGCAGTGGGGATCCGCAGCCCCTCAGGGCTCATAACGACCTCACGACAGATTTGCACTGCCTGCACACAAGTGACAAAGTCACCCACCCCCATCTCATCCATCCCCATTTCTGTGTATCAGCTACAGATGAAGAACTCGGCGTTACCTTTCCCCTCACTCGCTCCATTGCGACTGCATTACACACACGCTACACACACGCTAACTTCAATTCTTTGCTTTTTTTCCTTCTCCCGGAGGCAAACAGGCGCTGCTGCCGCCCCATAGCTCACGATCTCCGTCAGACGCGACCCGCAGCAGCGCCTCGAGGCCCGACCGCCGCTCTCCACCGCCCCGCAAGGCCGCCTCGCTTCCCCCCCCGACTCGGCGGGCCGAACGCACCCCGTGGCGAAGCGCCAAAGAACGGGCACAAAACACCGACCTGCCTCAGCGCTGCACTGCGCGCCACCACAACCAGCCACCTCAGCACCGGAACGCGCCGCCGCCACTTCCGGCCTCTAGCCCCGCCCCCCGAAGCAGCACAGCCAATCAGCTGCGGAGCTGAGGAGACCGACCGCTGCTGTTCGCGGACACGTGGCAGTAAGCCGCCAATCCCGAGCCGGGCCTCGAAGCCCCGCCCCATAACAAGGAAGCGAATGGTTAGCCGAGACGGGGGGCGGGGCCTTACCTTGTTCGTACAGCCACGCCCCCTTCGTGGCCACGCCCCCCGCATCCGGCTCCCGACCTCCCCGTGACCGCTTCCGGCTTTGTTTCGTTTTAATTAGCTGGGAGAGAGCAATTTCTCTAATTACCAGCTGCCTACGGCTAATTTATTTCACTTTCATCCTCATTACGTTCCGTTAATGCGCCCTGGATGACGTGAATGGGAGTTGACTCTGCTGAAACTGTTACGTGGTGCCATAAGTGCATGAGGCCATACAGCTCCATACAGCTCCATATTGCCCCATACAGCTCCATATTGCCCCATACAGCCCCATACAGCTCCATATAGCTCCATACAGCTCCATATAGCTTCATACAGCCCCATACAGCCCCCTGCCCGCATACAGCCCCATGGCCCCATACAGTCCTATGGCCCCCATACATCCCTATGCTCCCATACAGCTTCTTGGCCCCACTCAGCCCTGTGTCCCCATACAACCTCATGATCCAGCTCCTTGCTCCCATATAGCCCTGTACGCCATACAGCTCACTGGCCTCAGACAGCTCTATACCCCCCCATATGGCCCTATAACCCCCACAGAGCCATATGTGACATACAGCCCTGTACCACCATACACTTCCATGGTCCCATACAACACTATGGTTCCATACAGCCCTACGTCCTCATGCAGCTCTTTACTCCCATAAACCCCATACCCAATACAGTCCCATGCAGCCCCATATCTCATACAGCCCCTACTGCACACATTCCCATAGTAGCTCTGTATCCCATATTCTGTACAGCCCTGTGCACCCCGTACATCCCTATGCAGCCCCATACAGCCCCGTGCTCCATGCAGTCACACACCTGGTTCCCAAATCAATCCATGAGTTTGGTGGCTGCCCCACACTGCTATTTGCTGGTGAGCACAGGACTGCATGCTGACACACAGACACAGCTCCATGTGAGACGTGCACAGAAAGCAGAGCCCCTCATCTGAAAGGGGGATTAGAAAGTGGGGTGGGATGGGAAAGGGAAGGGAAGGGAAGGGATAGAATAGGAAATAGATGGGATGGGATGGGATGGGATGGGATGGGATGGGATGGGATGGGATGGGATGGGATGG